CAGCTCTCGGCGGAGCAGGTGCCTCAGCGTGTGTCACTTATCCACGTCCCCAGGTCCCATAAGGGTGACACAGAAGGGTCCAGGCAGGTGTCTGTGCAGGGGCTGGTACTGCTGCGAGGACGCTGAGCTGGGGGACCCACCACTTTCATAGTTAACAGTAAATATGCTTGCTCTGCCCCAGGGAGACCCCTCAAAGTTGCTCACTCCAAACACGACCCTGAGAAGCGGCCCAGGTATGGACAGGCCAGGACACAGACCACCTGGCTGCTGCCTCTCCCAACAATGGGATGTGTGCCAACCGATGCCCGGGTGTCCACCACACAACGTGAACACTCACCAGGTCATGGAAGGCTGGTGTGTGTCCCAGACGCCCGACAGCACGTGCAGAGGGCGAAAGCGCACCCACACTGGCCCGTTGGCGCGTACACCATCTTGGGATGATTCACAAGAAGCTTAAAATCCACGCGGGGAGCTGGGTGGGAGGACACTTCCTGTTCTGAATCAGGTGAACATACTACCCTTCACAACATCAATAAGTGAAAGTTATTTTATAGCGAGTGCCTCAAACTCTTTTTATCAGACCCTGTCACTGGAACAGACACATAATAAAAGCAGGGAAGTTCGTTCCTCTGCCCCTGGGCCGCCCCTCACCCCCACCCCACGGACCATGGTCCATGCGGCCCCCGCCAGCTCTTTTCCTTCCCTGCTCAACATGACAACAGCCTTCGCCAGAGAAAAGCCATCTAGCACCCCACTGGGGACGCACATCCTACCACAGCCCGTAGGGGGCCCAGCTATGGAACCCCCTCCTGCCGGGAGTGGGGGACCCACAGCTCTGCCTCCATCCAGTTGGGGGGCCCACAGCTCCGCCTCCGACTGCCCTCGCCTCACCCTGCAGACCACCCTGAGCCCATGCTCTGGACACCAGCCTTGCTGTGCTCCAAAGCCACAGCGGCCACACCACCGACTCCGATGACAAATCCGCCAGCCAGAGTCCAGCCTCACATGCTTTGCTGCCTGTCCTTGCAGCTGGTGGTGCCGCGTTCCTGCGAACCTCCGCAGAATCCTGTATCCACCGGAGGCTGAGGGTGGCCCAGGTCACAGAAACACAGCCCCACATACACTGCTGCCGGTGTGCACGCACACGCAGTCACTCAGAGCGGTATTGCACACACGGCTGTATTGCACACACGGCTGTATTGCACACATGGCTGTATTGCACACACGGCTGTATTGCACACACAGCTGTATTGCACACACGGCTGTATTGCACACACGCCGCACTCCCTGCAGGACCCCTGTTGGAGGAGCCAGGCAGCCCTGGGCCCTGGGCCACTCTCTGTTGACCTCCCAGCAGGGCAGCCCCCAAACCCCATGACCCTGCCACTACCCCAGACCTCACACCTTGGTGGCCCATAGCTGTGGACGGGGGAGGGGCTAGAGCCATGTCCACGCTCCCGCTAAACCTCCAGGAAGCCCCCAGGCGGGAGGACCAGTCTCTCCCCATCTGTGGTGAGGCCAGGCAGAGAATGGTCGGATTCTCACTAAAGACCATGGTGATTTCGCAGCTCTCCATGTGGGCTTCTGGGCAAATAAGCATCATAGGACCTTCCGTCACAGGCAGGAGAGCTGGTGGCTGTTCTGCCAGCGGGCGCGGCTTCCCGCACCCGCCTCTGCAAGTCCGTCCACGCGTGCCTCTCCCTTGCTCACTGCCCGAAATTCCCTTTTCCTCATCAGTCAGCGAGAGCAGGAGGTGCCACTTACTGTTTCTGCACGGGCTTCCTTCTCTTCCGCCCCGCGTACATGCACTCCCCTGGCGGGATCATCGTCTTCAGGCCTAAAAAGAAAAGGGGCGTCAAGCTGGTCACAGTGAAGAGACCCCAGTGCCTGTATGACTCCCCAAGCCGCCAGGGGCAGGTCCCTGTGTCCACCCGCCCAGCCGCCCCGCGCTTCCATCATCACCCACGCGAAATGACCAGGCTCCTCTGGCACAGCCTGCACCGCTGGCGCCTCACCTCGCGGGCACAGACAGGATGGCACCCGGCCCGCACCTCGCCTCGGATGGCAGCGTCCCAGTCCCCCAGCCTGGCCCGAGGACCCCATCACCGCACCCCTACCAAGAACAGCCCTGTGCTCCTGCGCCTGGTGGACAAATATGTGTCACCGCAACACAGAAACACAGAAGCCCCTGCACACGGCAGCGCGAGCGAAACACGCACGGCCACGGCACGGGAGCTGCGTCAGGGCTCTCCGTGGCGTCTGCTGCGGCCCCTTTCCTCTTCCCACCCTCCCCTCGATGGCCCTGAACTGCTGGGCCAACGGGCTTCCTCTTTGCTGTGTAAAAGCCCTCACTCGACTCCACTAACCCAGCTGCCCACACTGGCCAGCCCCCACCAGCAGCGCCGGGCACAGGTGCCTGCATCCTCTGCGCCCCGAGGCTGGTCCCCTCGCCCTCACTTCAGGTTTCCGGGCAGTGAGGATGCTGAGCTCACACACGTCCTGCAGACCAGCGTGCAGTGACCATTCACCGCCAGGCTCTACGCCCACGGACGCAGAGACGAGGATCAAGCCCTCACCTGGCCTCCTGGAAGAGGACGGAGACACAGACACACAAGTCCCACCCTGCGCCAGAAGTGCCGCGAGACTCTCGGACATGTGTCATCGACCCACTTTAAAGATAAGAAACACTTTGAATATGAAGATATAAGCAGGTAAAGTAAATGGGTGGGAAAAGATACGCCATGCAAACACTAATCAGAAGCTGGGGTCACTATGACTATCGGGCAAAGTAGACTTCAAAACAAGGAGTATTACCCCGACAAAGAGGGACATTATCTAACGACAGGCAGGGCAGTTCTCCAAGAAGACAGAGCAATCTTAACTGTGCACAAACCTAATGACAGAGATTCAAAACACATGAAGCAAAAACCAATGAGACTGGATGGGGTAGAGGCGTGATCACTGCACCGGACACCTGAAGCTGATGCTGTATAATATTGTATGTCAACTATAAGGGAATATATATATATATATATATATATATACATAGTCACGGGACATGGAGTATAGTGTGGGAGTGGAGTCAAGGGAATTGTAACAGATATGTATGATATTGGGGGGGAGTGGGGCAGCGGATTGGGGGCGGCAGGTGTCACTTTGAGGGGTAAAAAGTATAACTATTGCACTGTGTTGTACAGCTCAAACTAATTTATAAAAAATGTGTATTTCACAATAAAAAAATAAGATTTGAAGATTCGAAAAAAAAAAAAGAAATACAAATTGGTATTTTATACAGTGTGGGGAATGTAATCAACAATGTTGTAAAGACCATGTAAGGTGCCAGATGGGCACTGAACTTATCAGGGGGATCACTGATCATGTCATAGACTGAGCAGATGCCTGACTGCTGCACTCTACACCTGAAGCTGAAGTAGAATAATACTGAATGTCAACTACAACTAAATATATAGGTATATTTAGTCACGGGAAATGGAGTACAACATAGGGAAGATAGTCGATGGAATTCTAACAGCGATATAAGATGTCAGAGAGGTAGCAGTTTGGGGGGTGGATATCACTTTATGAGGGGTTTAAATGTGTAACTATTACGTTGCTTTGTACACCTGAAACTAATAAAAATTTTAGATAATTTAAAAAAGAAAGAAAAAAAAGGTACGAACTTCCAGTTATAAAATGAGTAAGTCATGGGGATATAATGCACAGCATGGAGACCATAGTTAATAATACTGTATTGCATATATGAAAGTTGCTAAGAAAGTAAATCTTAAAAGACTTCAGCACAAGAAAAAAAATTTTTGTAACTATGTATGGTGATGAATGATAACTAGACTTACTGTGGTGATCATTTCACAATATATACAAATATTAAAACATTATGTTGTACACTTGAAATTATTACAATGTTCTATGTTAATTATACCTCAATTTAAAAAAAAGATCCAAATAAAAAAAAAAACTAACCCTGTCTTTAACTCAAACCCTGTCCCTAACCCTAACTTTGTTTCTAACCCTAATCCTAAACCTGAATGTAAACCTAACCCTAACCCTAACCCTGTTTCAAAACCTAACCCTAACCCTAACCCTATCCCTGTCCCTAACCCTGATTCTAACCCTGTTTCTAAATCTTACTCTAACCCTAACCTGTCCCTAATCCTAACCCTAACACGGTCCCTAACCCTATCCCTAAACCTAACCGTGTCTCTAACCTTAACCCTCGCTCTAACCCGAACCCTCTCCATAACCATAACCCTAACCCTGTCCCTAACCCTAACCCTAACCCTGTCCCTAACCCTAATCCTGTCCCTAACTCTAATCCTAACCCTGTCCCTAACCTTAACCATGTCCCTAACCATAAACCTACCCTGACCCAAAACCTAAACCTAACCCTAAACCTAAATCTGTCACTAATTCTAACCCTAGCCCTAACCCTAACCCTTTCCCTTACCCTGCCCCTAACCCTAACAAAAAAAACCCCCACAAAAACCAATGAGACCGAAAAGACAATTCATCAGAGACTTCAACACCGCTCTCACAGTAAGCAATAGCACAAGTAAACCGAAAATCAAAAACGATATAGAACATCCAAGCAGCAACAGACTTGGACTAACTGAAATTTACCACACTATCAAACAACGCAGGGTACACAGAACATTTACCAAGAGAGACTGTATTCTGGGACTTAAAACAAACTTAAAAGAATAGAAATCATACAAAGTATGTTCTGTGACAATTATGAAATTAAACTAGAAAGATATGTAGAAAATTCCCTAATATTTGGAAAGCAACCCATTTCTAAATAACCATGAGTCAGAAAGAAAGTCTCAAAGAAATTTAAAAGTATTTTGAACTGAATGAAAATGAAACTACAACACATCATACTTTGTAGGATATAGCTGATGGAAACTGAGAGAATTAAATGTTTATATTAGAAAAAAGGTCTCGGATAAGTAAGTTTCCACTTTAAGTAACTAGAAGAAGAGAAGCTAAATCCACGTCAAGTATAAAGATGGAAATAATATAGAGGGGGGGGGGAAATCAATGAAACCAAAAGTTGGTTCTTTGAAAAGATCAACAAAATTGATGAACCACTGGCCAGACTGATCAAGACACAGAGACACAAGTTACCATTGTCAGGAGAGGGGACATCACCACAGACTCCACAGATACCAGAAGGAAAATAAGAGAATATTGTATGAACTTAGTTCTGTCCCCGCAAAATCCATGTTGAAGCCCTAACCCCCATTTGACTGTATTAGAGACAGTACCTTTCAGGTGATTAAGGTTAAATGAGGTCGTAAAGGTGGAGCTCTGGTCCGACAGAACTGTCACCCTTATAAGAGAAAGAAACCCAGAGGTCTCTTTTCACCTTGTGACAGTGACCATCGGCAACCAAGAGGAGGCTCTCACCGGCACCTTCATCTTGGACTCCCAGGCTCCAGAACTGTGAGAAATAAATTCCGTTGCTTACGCCGCCCAGTCTACAGTATTTTGTTATGGCTACTCGAGCAGACCAACACAAATACTATCCCCACAAATTCAACAATTGAAATGAAATGGACCGATTCCTTGAAAGACACAAAGTACCAAAACTCACTCAAGAAAAAAACAGATAACCTGTTTAGTCCTATATCTATTCCAACAACAATGACTTCACTGGCAAATTCTACCAATTTAAGGAATACCAGTTCTCTGCCACCTCAGGCAGAAAATTGAAAATTGCCGACTCATTTATAAATTCAGCATCACCCTGATACCAAAAAGCAGAGCCATTTCAAGAAGAGGAAGTATAGATCAATGTTGCTCATAACACACACACACACACAAATCCTCAATGAGACATTAGCAAATGGAGTCCAGCAACACGGAAAGAGGACAATACATCACAAGTGAGGTTTATCCAAGGAAATCAAGGGATTTCAACCTCCAGAAGCCCAGCAATGTAATTCACTATATTAATAAAGAAAAAATACACACCATCATCTCAACACATGCAAAAGCACTTGACAGAATCCACATCATTCAGAATAATGACAAAAGTCTCATCCAGCTAGTGACAGACAGAAACTTAATCAACCTGAGAAAGCAGATCTACAAACAGCAGCCAACAACGAGAGGCTGAGTACCTCCCCTGAGATCAGAACAAGGCCAGACGTCCTACAGCCCCGTACATCAGACATGTCACTTGTGCTCCAATCAGGGCGACGAGCTGAGAAAGAGAAATGCCATGACGCCAGGAAAGGAAGAAACACACTCTCTGTTTCAGACACATGGTGTACATTCCAACAATTTTACTAAGACAAATCTCTTATAACCAATAACTGAGTTCAGCAAGGTCACAGCACAAGGACAGTACACAGAAAGCCACTGTGTTTCCACAGACCAGCAGTGACCCGCCAGAATACAGCCCTTTACATTTACAACAGCACCAAAACCAAAATGAAATACTTAGGTATTATAAGAGGTCTAAAGTGTGAAACTGGGGCCCCAAAGAATAGAAAGGTAAAGGAGGTGACAGGAAAAAAATGTATGAAATGATAGCAGAAATTGGTCCAAATGTAATGAAAAGTGTAAACCTACAGACTTTAGAAGGTCAGTGATCTCCAAGCACCAGAAACATGAAGAAAATGACTCCAAGGAACATCATAATCAAGGGCTCGTCACCAGTGACAAACAGAATCACCTCAAAGCCACCAGAGAAACAAAGGTGAGGACGACAGCAGGCGCTTCATCTGAGGAGACAGTGGGCAACACAGTGAAAGCACCAAAGAAACACCACCAAGACCTAGAGCTCCACACCCTGGGAAAATGTTCTCCATAAATGAAGGTGAAATAAAGACTTTTTCAGACATGCAAAAGCTGAACAGACGCACTGCCAGGTGACCACACTATAGGAAACGTGAAGGGTGTTTTCAGGCCGAAGGAAAATGATACCAGATGGTAATGTGGACCTACAAAATGGAACAAAGATTTGCTCTTGCTGTTAAATGTCTTCTCAAGGTCATTGTTTAGAAATGATGACAGCAGCGTAGTGGGCTTCCTACCACATGCAGCTGTCAGGGTGTGGCAACATGGCACAGGACGGGGCAGGGACGGCGGTGTGGGCTCCATGCTATTCACACAGGGCTCGGACGGTCCAGCAGAGTGTGCCAGGCGTGCACTTACTGCCCTGGGCTCCAAACCCAGCCTTCCTGGCCTGCTCTGCGCAGATCGGCTGGGCTCTCAAGCATTCTTGCTTTGTGGTCAGCACAATGTGACACTTGCCAGTAGGGGCGCTCGGGGGACGTGCAGGAGTGAGGGGCTTCTGGCTCTTCTGCTCAGTTCTGCCTCCTGCTGCCAGAGGTGGGGACTCCATGAACCTCTCCCCCATCCCGGGGTCGGGGGCTGAACCCCAGCTTTGGGGAGGGGCCTCCACACCCAAGTGTGCTGCTTACCATGCTGCCCGAACCTGGAAGAACCCTCAGGGTCCCTGGTTCACCCCCGTAATTACTCTACTGCTATAGCTAATATGCTTTCATATTAAGTCTCTCAAATCACACAAAAACTTAAGTTAAAAATACAAAATGCTAAGTTTTTAAAATCCACATAATTTAGAGATGCATACTAAAGCACATATGAAAGAGACAAGATGCCAGAGGCTCGAAGCTTCAACCTGGGGGCAGAGTGGGGTTTAAATGAAACTGGATCAGCCAATATCGATCGTGGTCTATCTATGCTGGTTGAAGAATAAATTGTGCTTATTATAAAATTCTATCCATTTTTGTAACAGATTTGAAAATTTCCATAACAAAATGTTTTAAAGCATTAAAAAGAGAAAATATAAGAATAGACATACCATGGTCAATTGGTTTTCAACAAAGGTGAGAAGGCCATTCAATGGGGACAGAATACTTTTTTTTTTTTTTTAAGATTTTATTGGGGAATTGGGAGAGGGAAACAGCGTTGGGGAATCGGGGAAGGGGAACAGACAAGTTGCTGTCCTTTTGTTCTTCAGTCTAGTTGTGGAGGACGTCGCTTCACTGGCCCATGTTGGTATTATCATTGCGCTCTTCCCAGGTGAGGCAGATCGGTCGCCGGCCCTGGACGGCCGCTCACGGAGGCTCATGGCAGCTCACACCAGCTGCCAGCCACTCACTGTAGCTCACGGCAGCCCAGCTCCAGGTCGAGCTGTTGTTCACCATCTTAGCTGTAGAGGGCGCAGCGCCACTGGCCCTCACGTGGGATCCGAACGGGCCCTGCTGCTCAGAGCTGGTGTCCCAAGCCAAGTCTTAACCAACGCGCCACTCGGCCGGCCCCAGAATACTCTCTTAGCAGATGATGCTGCGACAGCTGGATCGCCAGAGAATGAAGCTGGACCCCTACCTCACATTATATAAAAAAATATAACCCAAATTAGGAAAAGACCTAAGTGTAGTAAGAGTTAAAACTATAAAACTCTTGAGGAAAAATAGGGGTGTATCTTCATGACTTCAAATTTAGCAATGGCTTCTTAGGTATATTACCAAAAGCACAAGTAGGAAAAGAAAAAAACAGACAAATTGGATGTCAACAAAATTAAAAATTTGTGCTTCAAAGGACACTATCAAAAAAGTGAAGAGAACCCATAGAATGGAAAAAAATATTTGCCAATTAAGTATCCAAACTATACAAAGATACATTGTATACAATTAAGTATACAAACTATACAAACTTACAACTCAACACAAAAATCCAACCCAATTTAAAAATGGGCAAATAACTTGAACAGATATTTTCCCCAAGAAAACATAGAAATGGTCAACAAACACATGAAAAGATGCTAAACATCATTAGTCACTGGGGAAATGTAAATCAAACCCACGATGAGCTACCACCTTGCACCCACCAAGATGGCGACAATCAAGTAAATGGAAAGTCACGGGTCCTGATGAGGGTGGGGAGATTGGGACCCCGGTGACCCGCTAGTGGCATGTGCAGAATGGCAGTTCCTCAAAACGTGAAGCAGAGTTACTGTACGAGCCGGCCGTTTCCCTTCTAGGCCTGTGTCCAGGAGAACCGAAACACGGTCAGACGCGGTCAAACTGGCAGACGCTCATGGCAGCATATTCACAGAACCCAACCATGGAAGCGACCCAAGCGTCCCCAACTGTGGTGGGTGAGTGAGATGTGGCCTGTCGCAGGGTGGAGCACCACTTGTCCATTAAAGGAGTGGTGTCTGACAGGACAACATGGGTGACCTCAAGAAGGTGCTGCTGTGAGGGAAGCAGCACGAAAGGGCACGCCCAAAATCTCCATCCAAAAGCCCCTCCCACAGCAGGAGCTAAGACAGGATCCAGGCTTTTCCATGTAACCTCTCCCCAGCCTTTCGCTCCCGCCCCCCGCACTCCCCCTCCCCAAAGCCACATTTTCCCTTGGTGTCTCCAACTCACTGCTTGGAGGGCCCTAAAAACACAGGTTATGGCAAAAAGCACCAAGAGCAGATACATATCTCCAGGTACCTTTCCACTGAGGGGGTGTGGCAAGAATAAAAAAAGCCTGCGTTGACACCCTCCCCCCCACCCACCCCAGCCATGGTCCCAGCTGAGTAGCCTCACTTTGGGAGTCTGGTCTGTGTGGAGCTCCGGGCAATCGCACACCAGAGGCAGGCACTCTCTCAGCGTCTGCTCCGGTTTACTACATATTTGTGCTCCCTCCTCAAAAAGATGAAGCCTCCCAAGAAAGAACCAACTTCCCCACAGAAACTCCCCTGGGGTGGGTTAAGGTCCCAGCCCAAGAAGAGCTTCCTTCTCTACCTAAGGGGGCCCGGAGACCCTCCCCACTGGGCTCCTTGTGGCCTGCGACTGCCCGGGGCCAGGGCCCCCCTGCAGCCAGGGCCTCCCTAGCCATGGACAGCACTGGGGTGGGGGCACTTGGGGCCTGGGCGCTGCACAGGTGAACACCCCCGGCAAGCTCTGAGCTGATGGTCAGAGAAATCGAACTTCTGGATGAAGCTTCTCCTATGGGAACAGTAGTAACTGTCCACGTTAGAGAGTACTACAGGTGAGCAGAAGAACAAACACAAAACCCCTTCTACGCAGCCGCGCCCTCCTTTCCACAGGGTATCTGCTTTGGGCGGGAGCCCGGGCCAGAACCACATGTTCTGGGTCCAAACTCCAGTTAGCGCCTTAAAGTCCTCCATAAAACGGGTGACTTCCAGCCACGTCAGGAGGCCCCCCTCCCATCAAGGCCGCCCCACTGGCCGCTCACTGGCCCACAAGTGGGGACAGTCTGTACATCACCGAGGGTCTTCCCTCCACCCAGGAGCCTGCAGAAGCCAGGCCTGAGGCCCTAACAGTGGACGTGGGGCAGAGTACCCAGAGCCTGGGGACAGATGCCCAGGGCACAGGCTCACGCACCCAGACTCTGCAGAGCCCCTCTAGGACCCCGGCCTGCGGCTGCTCCCACAGAGCACACCCCTCCCCCACGATGACACTCCAGCGGCCACAGCTGGAAGCACTTCCTGGGGGCAAATACTTGCAGCCCCAGCCCCTGGAGCCAACAGGGAAACAGACAGAAGGAGGGACCCAAGGGCTGAGTGGCTCAAGGCCTCTGACCTCTGACCCTGACCAGCATCGGCCCCTCCCAATGGGGGTCTTGAGAGTCTGTACCACTCACAGAGGATCCACAGTCTGGAATTTTCGGCCACTGAAAACAGGACTTTAGGGGAAAAAAAAAACTATCTTGGTGCCGCTAACTGAAATCGAGTGAATTCCTGCAACAGGGGCCCTTGCGCCAGCCCTACCCAAGTGTGGGACCCAGCTCCCGCTTCCAGCCCAGAAGGAACCGGGGGCTGAGCTGCGCCACTCTGGCTCCGGGCCCCCAGCCCTGCGCTCACCCCCCTCCCACACCCCTGCTGCCCCGGAGAGGGCTCAGGGCGTGGGGTTCACAGCCCCCACCAACAACTGCCCAAAACATTTCTGAAAGAAACCGGCTAAGAGCGAAGGGCAATTAGCCCAACTTTCTCAGGGGTCACAGGCATGGAGGGGGGACGGGACCGACGCTCCCAGGGCAAAAACTGAGGGACCACGAGCACTGGGAGCGGACCGCACTTCCCCAAAAGTCCCGTTTTTATTTTTCAGTGAGAGCTGCCCCTTGGACCCAGGATCTGGCGACGTGGGGATGGGGTGGGCGGACGGGGATCCGAGAGGCGACGGACGGGGCTGGAGGACCCGTGGGAGGAGGGCGCCACCCGAGCGCCCCCGTCGCGCAGCAGGGGTCGCGGGGCCCGCCCAGGGCACTTACCGGGCCGCTCTGCGCGGAGCTGTGGCGCGCACGTGGGGGCAGCCCACCCGGGCCCGGAGCGGTGGCAGCGCGGATGCCGGCTCGCGCATCTCGGGGACCAGGCTGCGCCGGGAAGCGCCGCCCCACCCCGGCGAGCCCGCCCCGCCCTGGAGCCGCGCGCGGCGGAGGCGGCAGGGGGCGCGCGTGCGCTTCCCGCCCGGACCCCGGGCCCCCACGTCTGTGCGCCGCGAAGGGCCGCCCTCCGTCCCCACGGCCCCCCCTCCGCCCCGCGGAGCTGACCCCTCGGGGTGGGGGGTGCCCTGCGCCCCTCGCGGCCCCAGCTCCCCGCAGACCCGTCACGCGCCCCTCGCGCCTGCGCCCACCCGGCTTGAGCGCGCACCTGCCCAGGTGCAGGTGCCCGGCCAGGCTCCCGGGGTCGGGTCCGAATAGGTTACGTGACTGTAACGTGTCCCGCCCCGCCGGCCCCAAGGGATTGTTGTAAGGACCGAAAGTTTGACAAACGATAAATTAGTAATCAATACTTTTGACCCTGAACTTCTCGGGAACCGCGGCGTTCCTGCGACGCCCCAATCCGGGCGAGTGCGCGGTGGGCACCCGGATCCCGCTCGGCAGAGGGCAGGGTCTTCCCCTCGCCCTCTCCTCCCCGGGGTCCCCGCTGACCCCTCGGGGATGGTCTCCCCTCCCCTCCGCCGTCCCGGCCGAGACCTCCGACTTTGACACTCCCACCCTCACGAGGTTCGGACCGTCTGCCCCCGAACTCCACGGACACCCCGCAAGCCTGGACCTCACTGCCCGAGGTCTCTGCCCAACGTCTGAGGGGCCCCAGAAGCCCGGGCCCACTCTGGCGCCACCATCGTCGCCCAGGGCCGTCATGGGGTCGCCCTGTCTCTGCTCTGTCCCAAGTCCAGTCCCTCGGTGGTTCCCAGGGCCAAGCGCGCCGACTTCATCCAACCCCACCGACCTCCAGGCATCCTGCAGCCAGCCCTGTGGGGACTCCCGTGCCCACTCCCAGCCCACAGTCACAGCCAAAGGTGTCACTCCAGGCCCCCACCAGGCTGAGTAAAATGCGGCTTCCCCAGGAGCCCCACCCGCCTTTCCCGCCTCCCTGATGTGCTCTGAAAGAGCAATGCGCCCCTGGACCTTGGCACTTGCTGTCCCCTGAGGACAAAGCTCTTCTCCAGCGCTCCCAGGGCCAGCCCAGTCCTGTGTCCTCAGAGACAACAAACGCCCCAGAGGGAAGCCCCCCTCCCCCGCACATCTCCTCTCGCTGCTTTTCACGGTGCACACCGCTGACATGACAGCAGGCCTCTCTACTCCTGGGTCTAACAGGCGAGCCCCACAGGGCTGCACGGTCCGCCTCTGTCCAGGGGAGAGCTCAGCGCCGCGCTGCAGCACGGGGGCTGAGGTGCTGGCTGACGAAAGGGTTTACGGCATATTTGACATGGGACAACCTGCAGCTATATTGCTGCATCTTAACTAGTTGAAGTCAGTAGTTGTGACTTGATCCAGTTTCTGTAAAGCACGTAATACCCGGAAACATTGGGAGGGCAGCTGCTTATAGGTGAGTTTTAACTTTTTACTTTTCAAGTTTTCTACAATTCCTGAACATTTTTGCAAGAAGCATATGGAACTTTTGTACCTTTTTGGTAGTTTCTTCTTTTTGTTGAAGAAAATAAGTAAGCACATATATGATGTTGGGGGAACACGTCTTGGAGTGGCAGCAGTGAGGTGCATCTGCTGTGGGAAGTCCAGACCTGTGGGGGGGACCCGTGGACCCAGGAGTATGGTCAGCGACTCCTGGATGGGCATCCAAGGACTTGGAGCTTTGCAGTAAGAGCAGCACTGCCCCTGCCTGGGAAGACAGCACCCCCACAGCTCCAGGAACCCCCTGCTGACCTCATTGTCCAGACACCAGTCACATCCACCCAGTAAGACAAGGGGAGGTGAGGCCATGCAGCCCAAGATGCAGAAGAAAAGCAGTGTCTGCCTCGCCCCCTCTTAAACTGCCACCTGCCCTGCTGCCCTGTGCTTGTCTCCAAAATAACCCTGGGCAGTCAAGGGGTCTAAGCAGAAACTGGACAACCGTCCCCAGGGAGGCCGCTGTCTCTGCAGCCCCAGGGCCCCAGGGGAACGCCCTTTCTGGGAACCTCTGGGCACCCCACCAGAAGGTGGCTTCCCCCCCCCCCCATGCAGTGTTCCCAGGAGCACAGCGGACAGGGCTTCCTTCCCCGCAACTTCCTGTTCACACAGGCTGCGCGAGCACACACCAGTTTGCACTGCACAGCCGACGTACTCTGTGCCTTTGCATGGCAACCACCCTGTGCCCCTTCCCACCAGGCGGGTCCAATGCAGCTGGACACACCTCCAAGCGCCGCGCAGGGGCCGTGACCCAGCAGGCCTTCTCCTCAGACCATCCCTGTAGACCCCCAACCACGAACAGGCTCCGTGTGGCTGAGTGCTCCCACAGGGGGGTATGTCCTCCCAGGGTGGCAGGGATGAGCGCTAGGGAAGAGGAAACCCGAGGTGCCACCCTCTCCCATCTGCGGGGGAAGCGGCCGTCCCAAGTGAGAGCTCGGTCTGATGTGACAGCTAAGTGAGGCGTGACTACTCACAGGACCACCTGCAGGGGTGCTCAAGGCCCTCAGAGCCACGTCACTCCCAGGGGCCAGTGGCGTCCTGAGCGCACAGGTACAAGGACAGAGCCGCTCTCCACGGGCTGCTCCCAGCCCTCCTGCACTCCCCACTGGCTCAGCGTCCTTTCTGTCCACAGTCCCTCCCTCAGACACAAGCCAGGGCTGTCCTCACAGGCACACAGGGAGTGTGCTGTCCCCAGCACCGGTGCCAGGCCACTCAGTGCCGTGACGCTCAGTGGCTGTCTCGTTGACCATGTTGGCAGCCCTGGCTCACAACCGTGTGTACTTTTCCAGGAGGCTGAGGCGGCTCTGGAGCAATTTCCCAAGAGCTGCTGAGCTCCCTGCTGTCACTGTGGGCTGACCTGTCACTGTGGTCCGCCCTCCTGACCTGCCTCGCCTGCAGGACAGCCGGGAAGGGCTTCCTGCTTCTGGGACATCAGCACAGGTGCCCAGGCGGGAAGAGCCGCCACGGCCAGGGGCCCAGGAGCCTCCCCAGATTCTACCCTCAGGAAGGGGCAGGCTGCCAGCCAATGTCCATCCCAGGAGGTCAGGAGCTCTCAGGCCCAGGGACCCTTGAGTCAATTACATGCGATTCTGGGATTGGTCCTGAACACCAAAGACGGTAGCTATGGCAAACCGGCAAACGATACAGGCTAGAGGGAGGTGGTGAGACACCCACCAGGACTGGGCTGGTCTGCCAAGCACCTGGCCTCCCAGCACCCCTACCTCTGCCACCTGATGCCTCTCTTGAGTCCTGGCCCCACCAGGTGGCCGTGCTCTGCAGGGAGCCAGGCCGGCTTCCCTACCTGAAGCAGACCCTCAGGGTCTCACCCAAGAGCAGGAGCCCTTGGCGGGGCAGCGCCCTCCTCCCTGAGAAGTGGCGAGGGGCAGGGAGCCCAGGCCTGAGCAAACCTGCAGGGTTCACAGGTGCTGTTCCCTCTGACTGCTCTCCCCACATGTTCTAGCCTGTCATTCCTTTAGCTTAAAGGTCCCCTTCTAGCAGATGCCACCACCATTACACCCCTACCACCTGACATTTGGGTTTGTGGTGGGGACCAGCGCAGTAACTGTCATCCACCTTGTACCCTCGCCCCATTGTCCAGAGGGAGACGGGGGAGAGGGGAGGGTTGACTTTCTGTGGTTTACTTCCCGGCATACTCACTGTATTCTCTCTCCTTTCGTGCAACTCGAGCCCTAAGAATGATGACTCATGTGCCTCGTCTCTTTGAAACTGCTCTGTCCTCACATCCTTGTGAACTGTCATGAGACAGAACACCTCACCGTCTCCCACAGGGACAGCTCCCTCCAGGACACTGCCCCGCTACTTCCCTTGGCCTGTCTCGTGGGTCCCACGGTTCCTGAGTGCCAGGCCCTCCTCCTGTGTCGTAAGTCACTCGCTGTGACTGGAGCACACTGTCCAGGAGGCGAAGGAACCAGACTGGGAGACTCAGTCCACCTGCACAGCTGGTGGCCGGCTGGACAAGAACAGTTTAAGGTGGAGACAGCTTCTGTACCCATGTTGGCCGTTTCCCCCTGTCGCTGTCTCGCGTGGGCCTGTGCTCCGTCCTCTGGAGAGTGAGGGGCTACTCCTTGCCCCCTGCAGGTGGGTCAGCGTGTCCTTCCCAACTAGCCTCCCCTCTGTTAGTGCTGGCAAATGCCCTTTTGGTTTTGACATTCTCTCCCCTACAGTTGTTCTTTCATTTTTTTCCCTTCCAGGTATTCTGTGTTTTTTTCTTTCTTTCTTTTTGTAGCATGGGCTATATTTTTAGTGGACGCAAGCTCTTCGGTCGTCTCTGAGATGCTGCTGGAGTGTGTTGGGCTCCAGATGCTTCTTTGGTCCTGAATTGCCTGGGCTTCCCTGACCTCCTGCCTGGCGGTGGGTGCTCGCCTGCAGGGGGCTCTCGGGCCTCCCCCACCCCGTGCTGCCATCACCCTCCTGAGCCTCCCAAGGGTTTGGGGGCAAGCGCCTCCTGAGGTCAGAATCGGCTGAAGCTGTTTCCTCTCTGATTCTTTGAGTGGTTGAGGTCAATGGTAATGCGAACTCTGCCATCTTTAAAGTCTTCCTGAATTGTAGGCAGCCAGTGTGAACCTACTGAAAACAAAGTGAGGCCCAGGTCTGTGGCCTGTGTGTCATCTGCTGGGCAGAGCTGACAGGTCAGATGTGTCCTGTGCTCCCAGGGTCCAGGGCGCCCTCCATCCAAACCCCTGCCTAACCACCGCTGATCATGTGACCTTGGCCAAATTATGGGGTCTCTTTGGGTCTCCCTTTTCCTATCTATAAAACAGGTAAGTGCAGACCAAGGGAACATCATAAAGAGCCCAGAAATAAACCCTCATGTCTGTGGTCAATGACATTTGACAAGGGGCCCAGGCCATTCAGTGGGGGAGAAGACAGTTTCTCCAACAAATGGTACTGGGACAGCAGGGTCTCTACATGCAAGAGTGAGAATGGACCCTTACCTCACACCATATGCAAAAATTTACTCAACATGGACCAAAGAGCTAAACTTAAAAGATAAAACAGAAGAAAATGGGGAAAGAAAATGGGGAAATTTCATGACATTGGATTTGGCAATGATTTCCTACATACCACCACCAAAAGCACAGGCAACAAAAGGAAAATAATTACCTCAAAACTTTTGTGCACAAGGGACACACTCAGTAGAGTGAACACCTATCACAGAATGGGAGGGTAACTGCAAATTATATATCTGATAAGGGATTAATATCCAGAACACATAGAGCTCCTACAAGTCAACAATAAAAATATAAACCACCAATTTAAAAATGGGCAAAGGACTGGAATAAACCTTTCTCCCTTAAGAACGTACAGATAGTCAGTGAGCACATGAAAAGATGCTCATCACTAATCATCAGAGAAATGAAAACCAAAACCACAGTGACATCCATCAGGATGACTGTTACAAAACAACAAACAAAAAAAGGGCCAGAAACTGGAACCCGTGTGCACTGCTGGTGGGAATGTTAAGATGGTGCAGGTGCATGGAGAACAGGACGGAGGTTCCTCAAAAAACTAAACACAGAACCACTAGATAACCCACCACTTCTGGGTCCACAACCAAATACTGGCAGCAGAGACTTGAAGAGGTATTTGTGCACCAAGTCACGGCATCACGACACAAAAGCTGAACAGCGGAAACAGTCCTGGTGTCCACGGGCGGACGAGCGGTCCGCATGCTCCTCAGCCGTAAGGACATTCTCACACAGGCTGCCACACCAATGGACGCGGAGAGCACCCCACTGAGGGAAATGAGCCACCACAGCAACACGAATGCTGTGCGAGTCCACCGACGTGACATCCTCAGAAGTCAGGTTCAGAGACAGGGAGTGGATGGTGGTGCCGGCGGCCAGGAGAGGAGTGGGCAGTGAGGGTCTAATGGTGACAGAGGTTCCATTCAGGAAGACGCAAAGTTCTGGGGATGATAGTGGGGATGTTCACTACAATGTGAATGTATTTAATGCTGCTGAACTTACACTTAAAATGGGTAAAATGTTCAACTTTATGTTCAATATACTGTATTTCCCCATGTATCAGATGCACCCTTTTTTGAAAAATTTGGGGTCTAAAAACTGGGTGCGTCTTATATAGTGTAGATTTTTTTACTTGCATTTCCCGCAAGTGATGAGTTGTTGTATAAATTTTATGATGAATAAAACTTAAGTTCAATAACTTTATGTAATATTTTTCTCAAATTTCGGGCCCCAAAATTAAGGTGCGTCTTATACATGGAAGCGTCTTATACATGGGGAAATACGGTACTTTCACACACACACTACTCTTAGAGGCCTACGTGGGCCGCTCCCTGGGGCCTCGAGTCTATGGGGTCAGACATTGATCAAATAATCACACACACACACGTGCACGCATCAGTCTAGACTGCACTTAAATGCTATGGAGAAGCAGTGAGCTCCAAGCTGGCTGCAGGTGCATGTCGGGCAGTGTAGGGTGAGGGGCTGGGCATCAGGAGGGCACACACGGAGCAGCCCTTTCAGGTCCCCTCTGCATGGGGCACCTTGGTCAGGGGACAGGAGGACCCAGCGGGACTCCATGGGGACTGAGCCACAGCAGGGAGTGGAGCTGACCTCTGCTCGCCTGCAGCCCTGCCCACTGGCCCGCCCGTGAGGGTCCCAGCCTCCATCTCCACCCTTCCCATGGTGACACCTTTTTCTCTGTCCCCAGATCCCCATCTGCTCTCCTCCTTGGCCAGACTCATCTAGACTGGGGCAGGTGACTCTCCCAGCTGGCAAGGCTGACTTCAGTGGTGACCTGGGGGGTGGCCAAGGTCCTGCGTCCTGATTATTCCGGGACCATTTTCCTCTTGTGAAGAACTGGGGGAGGATTCCAGGGACCTGAGCAGGTTATTTCCCGGTGAGTCACATTAGGAGCTGGGTCAACACCACTGTTCAAATGGCAAGGGAACCCTGAGAGCAGGTGACAGAGCAGTGACGAGGGGAACAGGGATGGGGGTCTGGGAGACAGGCGATGGGGGACAGGGGACCGGGATGGGACAGTGGTGGCCTCGGCAGCTGGCCAGGCTTGGCCTTCCTGTGACCTCACCGAGGCCAGGCCAGCTGACCGGTGGTGCTCTCTGCTTGTCTCACACGACTCCAGGTGGGCGCAGCGCAGCTCGAGCTGAGCAACATGATGGAGGAAAAGCTGTGGAAGTCAGTGTTTCCGCAACTTTCTAGGGCGCTGCAGCAGCTCTCACGACTTGAAGCCCCCAGTGGCTTCTGTGGAGTATTTCAGTGGCTTCTGTGAATTCCACGTTGGCAGGTGGGGTGAGGCGCCAGGGGCCGGGCTGAAGTCCCTGAGAGGAATGACTGCACTGCCCCCGTGTGGCTGACTGACCGCTCGCCGGATGCTCTAGCATCCTCACCTTCCTGCCACTGGAAGGCAGCCTTGCTTTCCGTCCTGCAGGTAACCCGGCCCCCAAAACCCCAAGGCCCACCTGTCTCTCTGGCCTTCCAGAGCGCAGGGCTGTGTCCCTACTGCCACCACCCCAGCCCTGAACAGCTGCCAACCCTCCACCCTCTTCACCGTCCCTCACTCCTCACGGTGCCTCCTCCACTGGCCAAAGCCTTTGACTCTCACTGAGAGGGTCTATGCCACGCACATGGGTGTCTGCACCACACACCTGAGCACATCTGTACCGTACCTGAGAGTATCTGCATTACACACCTGAGCACATCTATACTGTAGCTGATAGTATTTACACGTGACACCTAGCACATCTGTACCTTACACGAGTATCTGCACCACACCTGAGCACATCTGTACTGTACCCGAGTACCTGCACCACACAACTGAGCACATGTACCTTACCTGAGTATCTGCACACCTGAACACATCTGTACCGTAGCTGATAGTATCCACCAGACACCTAGCACATCTGTACCTTACCTGAGTATATCACAACACACCTGAGTAGCTGTACCACATACCTAAGCACACCTTTACAGTACCTGATGTGTACTACACACTTGAGCACACTTGTATCGTACCTGAGAGTATCTGTACCACACACCTGAGCGCATCTATACTTTACCTGAGTGTTTGCACCACACACCTGAGCACACTTATATCTTACCTGAGGGTCTGCACCACACACGTGAGCACGTGTGCCTTACCTGAGAGTATCTGCACTACACACCTAACCACATCTATATTGTAGCGACAGTATCTACATCAAACACCTAGCACATCTGCACCTTACCTGAGTATCTGCACTACACACCTGAGATCTGTACCACATACCTAAGCATACCTGTACCATACCCAAGCATGTGTACTATACATCTCAGAATATCTGTACTTTGAGAGTATCTCTACAACACACCTAAGCACATCTATACTGTACCTGAGGGTATCTGTACCACACACCTATACCTTACATGAGTATCTGCACACCTGAGCACACGTGTACCTTATACAAGTATTTGCACCACACCTGAGCACGTGTACCTTACCTGAGAGTATCTGCACACCTGAGCACATATGTACTATAGCTGATAGTATCCACCAGACACCTAGAACATCTGTACCTTACCTGAGTGTTTCTGCATCACATATCTGAGCACGTCTGTACCTTACCTGATTATCTGCACCACACACCTATAACTTGCTTAGAAGCTCTCACCATATCCTGGTTAGCGAAGGAAGATGAAACCTCTTTCTAAGTCTCCATCTCACCTTTCCTATGACAGGAATGCAGAGCTAATCGCACATCACACCATCTCCTGGGGTGTTTGGTGTGAGAACAGGCATCCACTCTGGCACCGAGGGTCCAGAGAGATTAAACACCGCCTGTGTACCTGGGTGAAGGTGCCTCACCCAGGCTGTGAGCTGCCATGGCTCCAAGACCAGCTGGATGGGCTCCAGCTTTCAGGGCCCCAGGTGCAGGGTGTGTGGGGTGAGGGGTGGGCAGGAAGACAGCATGTGGAGCGTGGGACGTTGTCCTGCGAGGCTGGATGGCAGCCCCACCTACCGCCTGAGCTTGGGGTCTTTGCAGGCCCAAAACCCAGGACGTAGGGAGTGGTGTTTCCACAGGCACCTGTAGTAGCCGGTGTGTGGTATGTGGGGTGCGGCGTGGGCACGCAGACGGGAAAGCCGCGGGCTTACTGCATGTGGGGTTACTGCCTGGAAAAAGTGTGTCTGCGAGAGCCAGGCTGTGTGGCACTCAGCGAGTCAGGAATGTGGGTCCTGGGGTCTGATGGCCTCATGGGGTCTGGAGCTTGGGGCCTGGGGGTCTGAATGCCGCTTGCAGTTGTTAATTTGGAGTTTGGGGTCAGTGGACTGACGTCACTAAAGTAGAACCTGGGGTCTTGTGCTGGTGTCGTGTCACGAGCATGTCGACATCCAGAGAGGCATCCAGCATTAAAAGGGGTGGAAATCCTTAGCGATCTCCATGGACCCTCCCACACTGAGTTCACAAGGCCAGTCTCTGAGCTCCAGACTGTGCAGCCTGTGGAGCTCTGATCCCTCTAACAGACACCACAGATAAGAAACCCACAGCTGCCAAGGCCCCCAAGGTCTGACCCTCAAGTGCCTTTTCTGATGTCCCAGGCCCATTTATAAATCACTGACACCCACCCAGGACCCAAACGGCCTCACAGCCCGGCCCCAAATTCTGGTGTGGGGAAGCACACTTAAGGGGGAGGGGCAGAAACAGCCTAAAGCGATTCTGTGAGTGGCAGGGCCAAGGGCCACCCCAGTGATGCTGGTGACCAGGTGGGTGGGCTGACGACCGTCTCCACCTTCATGTTTGAAAACTTAAAGACCATCGCAGAACACAGAGTGAACCATCAGTAAATGACAGAATCCCACATACCTCTAAACCACATCTGGGTTTGAATGTCCAAATAAATTTTCTGAAATTTAAACAAACTCGTATAACAGGATGGGCGCTATCGACACATTTCCACAAGCAAAGCTGTGTCCTGGACCCCTCGGAGCCCCCTCATGAGCGTATCTGAGTCGGACTGGGACAAGGGGCACACTGCTTACACTGCATATTCAAGTCAATACAATACACCCCTTTTTAAACAGGAAGGCACATGAAAAGCCTCCTATGCAAGTTCCGTATTATTTTAAAGTTTCTACTGGCTAATAAAGAATTTCCACTACAGAACTGAAACCATCTAGGTGAGCACATGATGAATTCTTTACATGCAGAACACAGGGAACATAAGCATATCTTACCTCATGGCACAATCAAACAGCCCCAATTCCAATGCTTGTATCTGAATGACGATATGACTATTGTTACGATTGCAAAAACGTTAATCAGCTTATCCATATATGTACAGTGGGGTCCCCAAATATTAATTGTACAAAATCTAAAGGAAGAACAGCGTCTACTGCATCCGTGCTCCATTCCGTTGAAGGGATTTGGCATTTTCGGTCTTTTCTCTGTACATCATGTTGCTATTTGCAAAAGGACAGGGTTATACGATGCTGAAGACCATGGAAAGATACTGTTCGTATGACACCTGAATCCAGCCATCCTGATCCGTGTCGTAGCGTCTGAATATATCTGTCAGCCTCTGGGAAAAACACAGGCATTTAGATCTTTACATTTACTAAACGAAGGAACAAATGTACTTGGCAAAAAGATTCAGAGCTCCGATTTCACAAGTGTTCATGTCTCCACATCCCCTCTCTCTAACAGTGACCAGCGCAGGGAGGCATGCGTGGGGTGGGGGTTGGGGGTATGTCCCTGACCACCCCTCAAGCCAGGCCTGATGCCAGGGGCTCCTCTCTTAAAACTGCCCCCAGCAGGTTACAGCATGGAAGGGACCTCCTGCGCCCCCCCATGTCCTCCTGTCTGCCACCCCCACCCCAGGGCGCCTCCTTAGTCTGTTCACAAGCCTGACCATCCAGGGGGGGACCCCCTGTACTCCAAAGCAGGGCCAGTTAGGAAAGTGCCAGCCCAGAGAACAGGGCTGAAGACTCGCAGGACAAGAGGAGATGGACAGTTCCATCATGAGAAGGAAACAGCGCCCAGTTCGTCCTGACCTTGGTGGCTGGCCGGCTGCCTGGAGCCATGCCACACTCCAGTGCCGGGTCAGGCGAAATGGCTACAACCAACGGGGCCTGACACAGGTGACCATCCCTTTGTCCTCAGCCCCAGCATGTGGGCGAAACGAATGACAAAATCCACCAGCAGCACTTAACTGGCTTGAACAACAGGCAGTTTTTCTTTCCTTACACTTTCATTGTAATTTTCCAAGATCTCTACAAACAGCCTTTTTTTTTTCTTGGAAAAAGGCAGGAGAAGAAAAACTTTTTTTGAGGACTTTTTGTTTGCGGTCCACAGCTTTTCGATTCCCACATCTGCCAGCACTTAGGGTTATTCTCAAACGGTGGGCAGTACCAGGAACGGCAGTCAGGCCCCACGCACGCGCGGAGGCCGGCCTTGGGGCAGTGGCTGGCCTGTCCTCAGCCCAGGGAGCCTCTTGTGGGACTGAGACGGCGCTACTGCTGAGCCTACAGCTGTGACCTTTGCTTAAGCAGAAACATGTACTTACTCCTGGGAAGGACCCTCAAGTGAAAGTCCTAATCCTGGAGCCTTTCAGATACAGATAACAATGGGATATTTACACTGCACCTTTTTGCTAACGTGTTCAGACAACATTGCAGAAGACACAGTCCAGCCTCACCGGACCTTGAGGGGCAGAGATGAGGTCAGGCTCTCCCCATTTCAAAGATCTGAGCTTAAAAGTTAACAGACCTGTCACTGAGGAAAGACTGACCTATGCAGGCTCACCAGGAAAGGGATCGTGGGGTCAGAGAAACTGCACTTCTACTGACCTACCATTTTAACAGGAAAAAAATCGGAGAATGTTTTCCAAAACTCCAAATTAAATGGAAAAGCCTCATGTATTCACATGTCCCGGTATATTCTGAAGCTGACAAGGTATAAACTCTGCCTGGATTCGGACCACAAGGGCTTACCTTCTAGAGCAGCGGTTCTCAACCTTCCTAATGCCGCGACCCCTTAATACAGTTCCTCATGTTGTGGTGACCCCCAACCATAAAATTATTTTTGTTGCTACTCAATAACTGTAATGTTGCTACTGTTATGAATCGTAATGTAAATATCTTTTTGTTTTCCGATGGTCTTAGGCGACCCCTGTGAAAGGGTCGTGCGGCCCCCAAAGGGGTCGTGACCTACAGGTTGAGAACCGCTGTTCTAGAGGGTTCCACTTACACCCTTGCAGGGCACACATTCGTGTTCCACGAGTACAGAACAGTGAGGGTGCAGAGTCATTACATTTGTGGCCACGAGTCTGTAACTGTTGAGCCTGAGTGATGGGCACAAGGGTTCATTTTACTATCATCCCTGCTACCAGTTTTTTTCTTTTGAAGTTTGTCATAATACAAAATTTGAGAGACGTAATAAAAAATTTGAAAGACATCTATCGGTTCTCTGGGGCTGAGGCCCCACCCGGAAGGGTGGCAGCCCATCCTAGGGGCTGTCTCTGGGCAGGCTCCTGGGCTCCGTGCCACTCATGGTCTGCAGGGCAGGATGCTGGCAGGGACTGGCAGACGCGCCCCACACAGGAGGCAGGGCAGAGCAAGAGCACAAGGACAGTTCGCCGTTTCCTGAGAGAACTACAACCAATGCTCCCAACACATGTAAGTGACCCACTGGGATAGAGAATCACTTCTCCCGGACGCATGGCTGCGGGAGTTCCCAGGCGAGAAAAGGCACAACCGTTCACACCGATGCCTAACAGAAGTGACTTCTCTGAAAGCAACACCAACTTGAGGAGCTCCAGAAACTCACCGTCCGCACGCCTGGCTCCCTCCATCAGTCTCCAATTCCAGAATACCCCACTCCCCATCCAATACCTGTAGGACAGTACCTGTAAGACGATGCAGCCCTGGATGAAGTCGTCAAAGGCAATCTGGCCCCGGCCTTGTCTGTCGAACTTTCGGATAAGGATGTCGTGAAACTGGTCGGACAGCCGGTAGCCTGCAAGAGGGACCAGAGTCAGACAGCCACATAGCTCTGGTCAGTACCGCCTCCCCCAAGAGGCCCGCCCTGTCCCCACGGCCGACAGCCCGAGCTGGGCTGGGCGGGAGACACACGCAGCAAACGCATTCAAAAGCACTCTGCACACAGCCGGGCAGCAGTGACAACTGCCGACAGGCCTGAGCGTCTTCCTGGAGGCTGAGGAGCCACCGGGGCCGAAGCTCACATGGTCACTCGCTATGTAGCCGCACCACAGTGCCACTGCTGGCCACTCCTGCCCCACCGGGCAGCCCAGCAGAGCTCCAGAATGCAGCCAGTCAGCTGTAAAGAGCCCTTCACTGATGGGCTTTATGACGTGCATTATCTACATACACGCGCTGAATAACTCGGCTGCCCTGGGTTCCTCAGTGCCAGAGAACACTGTGACAGACAAAACAGCGTCGAGGCCTCCCATGACACAAAGTGTAAACTTGAGGAAACAGGACGGTGACTGATGGACACTCCCCCACAGAAGTTAACAAGTTAACAAGGAGTAAGACAGCCTCACCAAGTTCAAAACCACTGAAGGGTCATCAAACATTACAGCAGAGTCGCCAATTCCATTTTCAATTTACTGGAGGCGTCTTGAAAAAGTCTCCAGCAGGAGGTGGCTCTGAAGACAGGATGCAGAGCCCCTCATGTGCGGGACGCCCCAGGGGGCCACTCTGACCGAGGACACCTACTTCCTTCCCTTCCTTCTCTCTCCGACCCGCTACCTGCGTGACCACGGTATCCTTACTTATTCAGGAGACAAGATCCAGGTGTCAAATGTTTTTATTGGCTTCCATTCTCGCTGCAGTCTTTGTAAATAAGTGTGCACGTACCGTCTGAGTGAATGTCACAGTTAATTACCTGTATGAGCACTTAACAGTTTACTGAAGAGAGTCAAACATGCAAACATGTGCTAGTACCTTCCTGAGTGGTCAGCGTGCTTTGTGTGTCTGTGACTGAAATCCAGGGGCCCCCTCCCTGCAACCTGAGTAGAAGACAGAGTGCCTGACTTAGGAAGGGACAGCAGGTCCTGGCCCCTATACGTCTCATCTTCTCAGGCTCAGAACTGGTGCCTGGGGTCAGCTAAGAGAGGTCGGGCTAATGAGGGTTGAGCTTGGGACAGGGCAAGCAGGCGTGCCCGTCCATCGCTGTGCGATGGTCTCCTGCCCAGCCTGAGAAAGGACAGATGAGCAACGACGGCACAGGGTCTCTCTCCACAATCTATAGATGACAGTGGGAGCAACTTCCAGTGTCCATGGGCCTCAATGTTATTGCCAGGAAAACAAAAGCAAAGGAAGTCAGGCTAGAAACTGAACAAGCCACAGAAAGAAGGCCAAATCTGGGAGCAGCCAGTCCTCCACGGGCCCCCCAGTGAAAACCCAGGCAGCGATAACTCACAGGGTGCTCTCTGCATGGGTCCCCACGTGGGGCCCTGCTCAGGGCCAGCCACCCTCCAGACCTGGCATGTTGGCCACAGGGCCACACCCCAAACTGCGGGTGAGACCCTTTCCACCTCAGCATAAAAAAGGGACGAAGCAAGAGCAGCAAATGATGGCAAATGGTTGAAAATGAGCGATGAGTAAATGCAGGGTCGTTCTAGTCTCAAGTCTTCCTAACAGACACAAGACCGGCTTAGTGGCCAACAGGGACTGGGCAGAGGGGCAGCGAGGAGGGGGCTTTGGGTGTGGAGCCCCACAGTGCCTGCCTATCAGGGTCACAGCGCTGCCGCCAGGAATGGCAGGGGTGAAGGCCATCCCGATGCGCCCTTCCACTCCCAGGGCCCCATACCTGGCATGCAGCACATAGTAAGAATAAAAATCTTAAGGGCCGGCCGAGCGGCTCAGTTGGTTAAGAGCTCGCTCAAGAGTGAGAGCTCTGAGCAACAGCGGTTCAGTTCCCGGCCTGAGCTGAGCTGCTGCTGAGCAGGATGGCTCAGCTTAAAAAATAACAAAAAAATTCTTAAAGTGAATGGATGGACTACGAAAGCCGGCATGCTCCAGCTGGAGTCACACAGCACCACCAAGGCTGGCCTGAGGCCCCGCGTGGAGCCGACAGAAGTCAGAGGGCACCTAAGGGCTTGCCTCCGGGCCCCCTCACACGTCTGCCGAACTAAAACAGAGCCCAGGCAAGATGCTTGTTGTTCGGGGTCAAAACTGAACAGGACATTCTGCTTCTGTGGCTCATCACCTAAGTTACTACAGAAAATCTTCCAAAACCACCAATATGGGCGAAGGACAAGTGTCCCTTTCATAGAGGACAGGGCTCTGGAGAAGTGCCCAGCATTCAAGAGCCAAGCACAGGAACAAACTTTCTGGAAAACCCGAAATGCTGAAGAACGTTTACTTTCTCCAGAAAAAGCCTAAAAGTCAGGAAGGACCGCGTACTGACAGTGTGAGGGCCTGCCAGCTACAGGACACCAGGGAGCCGCCCACCCTGCACGTCTCGCTGTGGCAACAAGCATCCCAGGTATGACAGGGACCGGGAGTGTTTCCACCATGAGCTCCAAGGACCAGGTGGTCACAGCACCAAGGAAAGAGGGTTGCAGGCCTGACAAGGTGAAATAGCATGGCTCCATGTCACACACCAGAGGTCACTTGTCTGGAAGTCACTCAAAGGACCCGCTTCCCTGCCAGACCCCCCCGCCTAGCAGGGCCTCCGGCTCCTTCCCTGGGGCCCCCATCTGTCCCCAAGAGCAGAGCAAGGTCAGCTGCACCCCACGCTCCACGTGCTGTCCACCCTCTGAGCACGACCCTGACCTACAGCTGGTGAGCTCCACGCGGCCGTCCCCTAGCTGACACTATGGACAAGTTCCTAAGGCAAGGACAGTGAAGGACAGGCAGCGTAAAGCACGTGACCAGAGAAACGTGGGGAGGGCAGAAGCCACACTGATGACCGCAAGAGCTGAAATTAGCTTATATTAGTCAACTCCAAATACCTAGAACATAGTACCATGTAATCTAACTTTTCTTATTTTTCTAGAAGGCATTTATTTGCAAGCAGCCTTTTAAGCAAAACACAGAGGTGGTTTTGTAACTTGAGCCCAGTGAACAGGGGGCCGACTGAGATTGTCCCAGATGAGAACATCAGCGTGGCTTCACACCCTGAACCAGCCCACATTTCGGTTTTCCCTCCATAAATAAGACGCCCAACCTCCTCTCAGACCCACCACTGGTTACAGGCCCGCTGACTCACTCTGGAAAGGTACCGTGCAAACATGCCTGGCAGCACAGCACACACTCAGGCTGGCACGCACTTGAGAACGGGAGCTCACGCTGACTCCAGTGCCCCGTGTGAGGCAGCTTAGAGGTTCATTTCACGGGTATTTGTCATCTTTCTGTGTCTTCTGATGTGTAATGAAATATTAGCTGCCCTACACTGGTTTTTCCACTTATTCACTTTAAATTGTTGCAAAGCCACATTCTCAACGTGCTTGGGATGTCACTCCACTCACAAAAGAGAAACGATTGCATAGCCCTTATCTCATTTTGGATGAAACACTGCATAAAAGTCTCCAGTAATATCAAAATGTGAATCTGTATGACATAAACAAAAATTTCACATAGACGGGGTTACAAAATCAGTAAGCTGAAGACAGTGAAAGGCAACTTGAATGGCACCTAGTTCCAAAATGAAACGCGCTACACAACCCAGATTAGTGGATTACCAAAACCTGAGAGCGCTTGCTTGAGCTCGTTCTTGTCGATCATCCCGGAGTTGTCCCTGTCGTAGGTCCGGAAGACGTTCTGCCAGTCTGTGATGTACTTCCAGACGCCGGTGAACTCGTTGAAGTTCACGCCAGCCTTGTTCTCTCGGTCAAACATGGCTGAGACAGAAAGCAATGTGAGCATACGCAGCACAAGCAGCCCCAGCCACGCCGCCCCACGTCCCCAGCAGACCCAGACTCCTCCGGGATCAGCGCGCGCTTGGCCAGCAAATCCCTCAGTGTCGCTAATCAGCGCTCGCTGGCTGAGGGAGGGGTGTGGGGACTGTCACCCAGCCACAGCCCCCATGGGAAGTGCGAGCACACACACTATTAGAGCCACAATGAGAAGTGTGTCGCTCTGAAGCACGACCCCTGGTGGCAGCTCATGCTTTGCCAGGAAGGTGCCGAGAGGCAGAATTAAGTGCCCCCAGCCCCTGGCTCTGGGCCAAGAACATGGGTCTCATTTGTGAGCCATCCCTTCTGTCCTCCGGGAGCTCAGAAGAGCCCTCTGCGAGGGAGGCCATGCCAATGACACAGACTCTACGGGTTTTAGATGTCTTCTCAGCAAGACCTGCATTCACTGTAAAAAGTCAGCCCAATTCCAGGTCCAGATACCAAAGAACCTACAACTACATTCACATAGAACTGCACAACATATACAGGCAAACGCAGTCTGAATTACTGGTATAGAGAAAATGAATCGCTTGGCGTCTTTTCAGGTCGAGATTAATGTAAGGCCGTAATGGGGTAGCTCTTGGTCTGGTCAAAACTACATCACAGCCCAGTGAATTCCACGTAATGAGAACTCAGGTGAGAAGGCAGTGCCACAGCGTTCCCTCCTGACCACGTGGAGTGAGCATCCTGTCGCCTGGGAGCTTGAGGGCTGGGACCTAAGCGGCAGGCCAGACGTGGGCTAATGAGCCAGGCCAGTGAGGGACAGCTGTGCAGACCCAGGGCAGGCGGGGAGGCAGCACAGCCGCCAGCAGCCCCCAGGTGCCCGCCCACACCGGAAGCCGGTGCCCGTACTCACATATGATCGACCTGACAGTCACGGGGTTAAACGGAGTCCAGGTGCCTGAAAACAAACAGGAGTTCAGGTCAGAGAAATCATTTGTACAGGAAGCTCTCGGTTCCAAATCTGCAACACGTGAAGCTAATTAGAATGAGTGACCGCTTTTACCATGAAGACCTAGAGCAGAGGACACTGGGGGGGCTGTCAGCGTGCCCGCCAGGCTCCCTCCCGCATTGCAGGAGCCCTCAGGTGCCACCCGACACTCCCAGGAGTCCTCCATATCTGAGCCTGAGGTCGCGCCTGTGTGTGGCTTCACCGAGACGGCTATTATTGTCCTACGTACCGAATTTCCCAGGAACACAGCCACCAGGTGGAAGACAGCACTTGGTATCATTAGGAATGTCACCAACTACACCACTGCTCCGGGTCCTGGAGTCCCCAGACAACCAGAAATTCTACACAGGCACCGCGTGACTTCCTGTCCCCTTCAGCAGGCGTGCCGGAGCACACGGACAACACATTGCAGAACCAGGCCTTGGAATGTCTCCTCACATTCCACCTGGGCATCATACTGTTTTCCTGGAGACGGAGGGTCGGTTACACTACTCTACAATTCACCTCAGAACTGTGATGGGATGTTCCCCATGAAGTCAGAGGGGACTGCTGAACTGACAGACTTGAGGACGTGGATGTTTATCAATGGGGATGATGGCTTGTTCACCAGATGTCTCTATGCCCAAGAACGTGTTTTCAGAGCGATTTTGTACCGTTATCAATGATTATCCTCAGCACAAAGTAAACACATTTTTAATGTGGAGGATGAGCAGTGTCTCTGCCCACCCCCACTTGGATGAAACAGCCCATTTCTTCTTCTACACACGACTGCTCCCGTTCTGGGGACACAGGCCCACCTCTGCCCTTGACGCCTCCGTTTGAGGCTCAGCAGCTCCCCGTGAGCCGTGGGCGGGAGGGTCTGCAGATGTCACCTGTCCCACTCCAGGGCCCTGGACTTCTGCCCACGAGACGGGTCCTACACACATCTCACCCACACGTGTGCCCCTCCAAACACATACACCGCCACCCAACTACCACCTCCCCTCTAAGCCTCAGGCGACATGCTTCTTCAGGGGTGCTTTCCCTGAGCGCCCCACACCCCTGGCCGCTAAGCTGAGTCCTCTGCGCCCTCTGCCGTCCCCCTCAGCACACCTCCTGCCATCAGGATGGTTGGGCCACTCCCCATGAGGGCAGGGGCACAGCTGTTCTGTGCCCAGCACACCAGCGCCGCACAGCTCCTCTGTGCAGGCGTTACAGGAGGACACACGTGAAAGGACTAGAAGTCAGAAGCCAGGAGAGAAAGACAACGGTTCCAGGAAACCCCCACAGAGATGTGGCTGCGCCCCCACCTGACCCGACGCCTCACAGAAGGAAGGCACCGCTCACCACAGCCGGGAACCCAGGTGTTCCCACTGGAGCCTCTTCCCCCACGCTCCTTTCCACCTGCCACAGGTGACGTGACTGCACGAGGACAGTGCTGAGTGTTGGCTGTGCAGGGCAGGGGCGGATGCAGCCATGAGACCACGCCTCTGAGGTCCCGCCCGACTGTGATGCGACTCGGCCCAACAGAGCTGAACAGGAGCAACACAGTACAATGGCTGAGGCCACACAGGTTCCTCGTGGGGGCGGGGGTAGCGGTGGCAGGTGCTCCACACAGGCCTCTCATCATGGGGGGAGGGGTAGGTGGCCCGGGCAGGTGCACGCGCAGTACAGAGATGGCTCACCTGGGCTCAGGGGAGCAAAGGGTGAGCCTGATCACTGATGGAGGCCGGGATGGCAGAGCCAGGCTGCATGCCTGCAGTCCTGTTACCAAACAGGGCCTGGCTCTCCAGGGAAACCGAGGGATAGTAACAACAGCAACAGTTAATTGGCCCCGCGTGTGCTAGTCCTGTGACCCAGTTCCCAGGCCTAACATCAACGTTTCCCAGCCTGCCATGAGGCTGCAACGCTACACCGTACAGACGTTTAATACCTTGGTCATATTAAGCGTTAAATGCCCCTGAGTGTCGGCCGAAGAGCTAGGTAGTTCACACCACAGCTTTCTGTCAGAAAGCACTCTGCGAAGCGAGGGAAGTTAAGGGCATGCACTGAAGGCACAGGACACACCAGCAGCGAGGTTTCTGCACAAGCCTGCTCCGGCAAGCCTCCATCCCGACGCTCTGGGCCAGTCCCATCTCAAACATTTTTAGCTGCTTTCCCCATAAGCAATGAGTCTGGGAACATCAGAACCACTCAGCTTACAGATTTCCTGACTTTTACTCAGAAATATATGGTCACTGTACCTGTTAAGTCTTGCCACAACTTTATCTCAAAGAACCAAAGAAAACAGAAACGTACTTTTGTTCCTGTCAACTGAGCGCACAGCTTTTTCACCCAGTTTGGGGACAGTGCTAATGCCCTAAGAAGCACCAGTGATGGATGTGTGGCTCCCGGAACGAGCCACAGCTCGCTACCATCACCACCAGGGGCTTCAGCACAAACGGTTTCAGGAATTGGCATCTGCTCCCCTTCTCAAGCTGGAAAACCCACTCTGCTCTGTGATAGTCTTCTGTCTCTTTACTCTCCAAAGAGTTTTCTTTCTTGAAATGTCCTGTTCACCACAAAGGTGAGTTTTGGTCGATGAAGACCTCAGCGAGTGGTAAAGGGTTAAGCCTCGACCACATCGAGCGCACATACAACCGGAATGCCTACTGGGAATCGCTTGGGGGGAAAAAAACAGGCTTTTTCCTTCATTTCTGGTGGCCTCTGTGCACTTCACTGCAGCAGACGGGGGACTGCAGCCTTCCGGGCTTTTCTGCAAGAGCAGCCGTGTGCGTGTGCGTGCGCGGGAGTGAGGAGTCCGTGAACCCCACACCACGCAGCGCACAGAGCTGCCAGGACTCTGGGGGCCCCTCATGTCTGGCACAATGCCACAACTCACCAGTCATATCCAATTACAGCTTCAAACAGACACGACCACAAATACCGCCTTTCTGAAAAGCAATCTGACAGTGCCCATACCCTCCCATCTGATAATGCCACTTGTAAAAACTTGTTTTATGGAACTTCGGGTCAAATCAATACAGTGTTTACATTAATGGAAATTAAAACAATCTAAGAGTCTAACAGTGAAGACAGCAGGCTCAGTTCTGGTAGGCCAGTGTCTCCCAGTTCAGGCAGAGGTAGGACCTAGGGGACTGGGCTTGGCTGGAGGGGGGTCTTAAGTTCCAGATGTCCTATGTCTGCACCCAGAGACACGGCAGCCAGCAATACTGTCACCTGCCCAGGCTCGTGGAGTAACCTGTCGGCAGAGCCATGTCACCCAATCCCAACCTTCTGTGTTCCTATGTGGAACGCCGGTGGGAAGTTTCTGGGAGGAGCAGACATGACAGGCTGTACTGAGGGTCCCCAGACCTCCCTCAGGCTCGATGACTAGCTAGGACTGACAGCATTCATGTTCACAGCTTGTTACAGCGAAAGGACACACGGTAAAACCAGCAGAGGGAAAGGCATGGGGACAATTTCGGGGGAGAGCAGGCAGAGCTTCCAGAGCCACCGTGGAGTCACCCAGGACAGCCTGATCCTCCAGTGACAGGCTGATGACACACCTGAGGTGCTGTCAACCAGGGCAGTGCCCCTGAGGGGGTCCGTCAGGGGCTCCTGACGCCCAGAGGGAAGGCAGGTGTTTGCTGTCACCACACTCGCAGTGGAAACTATCCAAGCAAACAAGTACGATGCGCTCAAGGCCCGTAGTGGGCAAGACACCCTTATCAGTCGGAACATTCCAGAGGCAGCCTGTCATCAAACAGGCCCTTCTTGGAAACCGCAGACTCTGAGAGCCCAGCCGGCTGGGTCAGCCCTCGGCCACACAGGGCCGGCCGATCGCACGCTCCCTGTGCTGCCATGGGCAGCCGACACCGTCACCCACTACTTGGCGTGTGGGGTATGGGCGGTGATGACACTGGATGCACAGGCAGCAGGACGTGTCTGCTTGGATGGTCTGATATCCCTCACTTCTCCTTAATATGGGATCCCCAAGAGAACTGGAGCTCTATTTTGATAAAAATACCTTAAAAGAACATATCAACTATATTTTTAAAGCACAGCTGAAAAACGCCTCCTCAAAACCCATCAGTGTGCTAAGGCAAACTTCAAAGCACCAAAAGGAGGCGTGAGCAGAATTAACTCCCTTAATCCCAAGAAACTGATGTGAAAGTAAAAACAAGTGCCTAAAGTCATGATAGCTTGTGACACGTTATTTCAAGACGAAGGCATTAAGAACGGTCCTCTTCTGTCCCCTGAAACACACTGACCACATGTCCCCCAGAGCAGGCATTTCTAGAAGCTTTCCTGAGGCAGGAAGTCTGTCCAGGACCCAGTCCCCACAGCACTCAGTATGGGACCCACAAGCCCTTCTCCAGGGTGATTTCAACAGAGCGCTCAGGGCACAGGTGTAACGGAAGTGAGAAGCCATGCTGCTCTGTTAACTCCAGTTCCCCCTCCAGGAATAAGCTAATAAACCAGCAACCCGAAGAGCCTAATATCTTAGTTCTCACATAAAAACAGAAGCCCATTCCTGGAAAAGTCAGACGTCAAAATAACTTCAGTGGGATCGGCTGTGGGAGTTCAGGGAGGAGAGTGGCGAGTGGTGACGTGGGTCCATCCAGTGCCCAATGGGCCTTTGTCCAGGAAGAGCCACCACGAGGACGACGGGGGCGCACATCAAAGCACCTGGAGGTGCAAGGGTGGGGCGGCCCGCCCACCGGGAGGCTGGGGCACAGGGTGGCAGCCCCAGGGCACGGAGCAAGGCCTCCTTCACTGCGGGGGTGGCCCTGCCACGCTCCAGCAACACCTCTGGGTTCCAATCCTGGCTCTGCAGCAGAGACGTACGACGGTAACTGGGAAAGCCAAGCGGTGGTGATACCGTCCCCTACTCGGCAGCGCTGTGGGAAGGACCAGAAATCTGTGCTCACCACCAACCTGCCCTGCCGCAGAAAGAGCTGAAGTTTATGAATACCGTCAGGAAAGCAACCTACATATGCTGGATGGCAGGAGAAAAGGACAAGGAAGTGAAGAGCCTGGGGCTACATCCGTGAAGCTCCCCTCAGAAAGCTCTACACTTTGCTACACTGTTAGCAGCTAATTTGAGAAGAAAAAAATAACTGGTTAAATGAGTCAGGGTTTGTAAGATACCGAACAAGACCACGCAACCAGCACCTGTGCTCAGAGCACAGGCGGCACCAGTCCCAGGCAGGAGTGACCAGGCCATCTCCCAAGGCCGCCCCCTCTCTCAGGGCTAAGTGACTGCTTCTTGGGGTCAGTTATTCATGCCCCCAACAAAAGCCTAGGGAATCCCACAGGACAATTCAAGACAGGTGACTATATGGGGCCACTAATAATACTGTTGGTTGGGTTAAACCAGGTACTGGCTGCAAAGTACGTTAGGAAGAGGGACTGAACACACTCAGCAACTGTTCAAATACTCTCAGGCAGGCTCCTGGCAGAGGTGTCGTCAAGCGGGGTTCAAGACTATGTCCTGACAGATACAGAGCCATGTGCTCTGACCACCAGCGGGACCGGGGACAGCGCTGTCACCCTCTAGTGAAGCGATAGGAGCTTAAAGCCACAGGTCAGACAAAAGGCCCCCACACCACAGGGTTCAAACTGCTGCTGTGGGATGAGGTCTGCTAAGTGCCTTGCAGCCCCCAGCAGGTAGAGAGAGACTGCCAGGACCTGAGCTGGCTCCTTGGCCAGTGCCACCGGCAGGCACGCTGCACTGCTCATGCAGTCAACAGTGCCAAGCCCCTACTCCACTTGGCCTCCCAGTAACTGTGGGACAGAAACCCTGAAAGGTCAAGTCCTTGATCAAAGGCACATTCCTAGCACCAGTACAGTCAGGGTTTAAACGCAGTGACCCCACTGAACCCTAAGATGGACAAATTTCTAGTATTTGATCATGACTCCCAAGTGAGCAGGTTTCACACAAACCCTAAACCTGAACAGCTCTCAAATCTTACAGCAAACACACAAAAAGGAGACATCCGAACAGACCACTCACTGGGGAGGAGCTCAGGAGAGCCATTCCCGCAGGGCATTGCCGGGCACCCACTCTAACATCTGGCCACATGTCACACATGATGTGAAGAAACCACCCATTTGGTCAGCACTCAAAGTTTTAAGCCAGGATTTGCCACGCTGTAGCCTGCTGGATTCCGGGTGCTCTTGACAAACAAGAAAATGAAAGGAGGTTAATAACGGTCAGGGAAGAATCAAGCCACACTTGTCAAGGCAGAAGTAACAGCATTTCTTAATTTCCTGACATCAATTTACATAAATACATGAGAAGTTGTGCATCGTATCTGTGGCCCACATACGTCAAACACTGGAAATGAAGTCAGTGGTACCTATGGCTCTATAACGGAGACGTACCGACCTGTAAATACAAACCCTCAGCTCGTGCAAACCATGAGGCAATCAGAGGCAATCAAAGTGCCAAGCACCTGGGCCACCCACGGCCAGCAGGGGGGCGTGGGGGCAGGGTCGGCCCTCCCCACTGCCCAGTCCGCAGTCCAGTCTTTCTGCATCAAACTACTTCACACCAGCAAAATGCCTCTCAACATCTTCATAACATCTCAAAATTAATCCCTTTCCAGCTTAAGCGCACGCCTCTGGAAAGTCAGGCTACAGGCAGAGGCATCAGAAAAGACAGTGGCATCAGAGGGCGAAGAGAAAGGGCAACACAGTCAGGACGCCGCAGGAAGCTAAAGGTCTCTGATGGTCCTGAGACCTGCAGCTGAAACGGGCAGGAGCTGCAGAGCTCGCACAGCCCAGGCACACACCCCACAAGAGCTGCGAGCCCTCCTCCCCACCTGAGCGCCCACTGCGCCCCCACCGCCCGGCGCTCAGCATCTCCAACCCCTCAACAGCTTCCCCACTGCAGCCTCTGGGACCTTGATGACCCTCCCTAAAGGGGCACAAAGATCAGACACCGCGGAAATTCCACGATCTTCAGGATCCCTGCAGGCTACGTGCTGTGCAAAGCTCAACTTCTACCCCTCCCCCAGCCTAACCCCAGCCTGCATTTCTAACAGGGCTTCCCTGGGCTCATCCGCCCAGCTCAGAGCAGCACTGATGCCAAACGGGAAACCACCTGGCAGAAAGAACCCGAAACACCCGCCTCGCGCCGGTGACAGCGAGCACCTTACAGGCGGGTCGGGCCTGGCTGGGCGCACCGTCCTGCCCGCTAGGCCCCACTCACCGTTGGAGAGCGCCTGCTGGAGTTCGTTGTCGGATATCACGCCGCTCCTGTCTTTATCAACCCTGCAAAATCGAGACCGGTTCAGCTGCGGAGTCAAAGAGCATGAGAAGCAAGCAGGGCGAGCCCGAACGTGTGACCCCGTGACCATCCTGCGTCAGCTCCGCCTCGTGCGTCCCAGGGACCTCTCGCTGTTCTCCCGGGTAACGAGGCGGCCGGGGCTCCCTCCACCTGGCGAAGTCCGGGCTGTCGCTCCCGAACGCGCCCGGTTCCCCCCGCAGGGCTCGCTCTGCCGTCCTCCCTCGGCCCGGCCTGAAGTCCACCCGCACCGGTTTCTCTCCTGTTCACCGACAGGAAGAGATTCTCGCAATCGGTGAAGTCACTCCCCGAGCAAGGGTCACTCAAGTTTCCGTCATTCATTCACCGGGAGGACGGCCCTGGACAAAGGGCTCAGGTAACGGGTCACCTGCCCAGCGGCCGCCCTGTCCCGGCTTCCTTCTTGGCCGCTGGCATGTGCACAGCTCCGGAGCGGAGTCCGCGGTTCTGGTCACCTACAGCCCGCATCGCCCGGAGCAGCCCGAGCCCGCCCTCCACTGCGGGCATGTGGCCGGGGGTGGCGCGTGCAGGCCGAGCCCGGGAGCCCTCAGCAGGTTCCAAACCTCGGGAGGGCCGGCGCGAGGGGGGAGCCCAGAGGCGGCGGGGCCGGGCACAGGACGCGGGGCTGAGGGGCAGGGGGCCCGCGGGGGAGGGTGGGGGACGCCGGGGCAGGCGGCCGGGAGAGGCCGGCGGCGCCCCGGGAGCGCCCGCACGCGCCGGGCCTCACCTCTGGAAGACGTTCCACAGGAAGCTCTGGTCCGGCAGCGCCGCGCCCGCGGCTGGGCCGGGGGCGGCCCCGGGGCCCGGGCGGTAGGGGTAGGCGGCCATGGGCCGAGGCGCGCGGCTGAGCTGGGGCGTCGGCGGCGAAGCGAGACGACTCTGGGCGTCTCCGCTTCCGCCTCTGCCGGGGGCGGGGCCTGGCGCTCACGCCACTTCCGGGCACACAGGAAATGCGTGTCTCCGAGGAGGTCACGGGGCCTGACACAGCCAATCCCGTCGCGGCGCCGTTGCCAGGCAACGTCCGAGTCCCGCCGGCCCCGCCTCCCGCCAGGCCCGCGGAGCCGGGACTCGTGCGCGCCGTGGGCCGCCGGCCGCCTACAAGTTCCGGTTCCGCCCCCTGCGGAGCGGGCGTGGCGGGCGGACGGGGTCCCACTCGGGCGTGTGTAATTCTTCCTTCGAAAGAAAGTGTGCAAGCGAACGTGACCAAGGAACAAGCGCGCGCGTGACACCCTTGCGCATTTCTGCAGTTTCCAGGCCTCTCCCCCGTCCCCCCGCCTCCTCTCGTCGGGTCACCTGGGTCCCTTTGCCCGGGCCTGACCAGCGGCTCTCCCTGCCCGTGGACCCGGGACCCCTCTCTTGCTCCCTCCCGGCCAGGGCGGCCCCTTCTCCCGGGGACAGATACCGCGCTCATCTGGACACCGACGACGCGGCTCAGCGTTTTTAGCGAATTCCCCGCTTTAGAGCATTCGCGTCACCCCCGCTGTCCGCCAGCCTCGGCCCGCCCGCTCTGGTCTGGAGCAGGACGCTGGCTCTATTCCTGTTCATAGATGCTCCAGCCTCGCGGGTTTTTAAACCCGACTCGGTGAATGCTGACTTGTTTCTTCCTCGGAGCTGGGAGGCATTTTGTCCGGGAAAACGAGCTTGTTGCTTCCAGAACATCCCAGGACGTGGAGCCAAGGACTCGGCAGTTTAATGGGAGGCACCTGAGACTGCTCCTTGTGGACACTGATCCATTATTCAGCCCTTGGGCGCAGCCCTCGCTGTGACTAGCTGTCATTCTCCCAACTCTATAATCCTCTGTCCCACTTTTCTTTCTCTCGCTTGACCACGAAGCCACATGCTTGAGAGTTCTTTGAACTTCTTCAAATAAATTGAGATAGTCCGTTACTTCACCTTAAGTATTAACCTACAAACCTCTTCAACAATGTGGACTTTTTTATCATGACTCCTCTTGTTCTCCAGAAGCCTACAAAATTAATAAGGATGATTTTGCGACCCAACTTGTAAATGTTTCCCGCTACAGCGTGTATAGGGAAACAACAGCAGGAAACACCTCGGCGACTGCAGCAGGCCTCGACCTCCCTCTCCTGACAGTGTCACCAGCTCCAGTACTTGGCGGAGTCCCCCAGCCTGGATTGGCACAGGCAACACGCTCTGTGGGGCCCAGAGTGCTCTGTTCCACTTTGTTTAGCTCTAGGGGTGGGGAGAGGAATCACTTGCTGAAGGCTTACAATGCGCTAGTGTTTACTCTAGCATTTAAATGTTACATTATGGAATCTTCACACCAGCACCTGGTCCACATTTCACTGATGACAAAACCATGGCTAGCCTAAGGTCAAGCAGACAAGGGAAGTAGATTCTGTCTGTGCTTTCCCGGCATTGTCTCAGCACTGGCAAGACTAACTCTTGAAAGGGAGATTAGAAGGAAATAAGGGCCTATAGAAAAGTCACCTTGCCCCATGTGTGCCCATATAAATGCACAAGTGCATCTAGGAGTCATGGGACATTCCAACTAGGCAGCCTCAGTCCCTCCCTCCATCTCAGCCCTATCTCTGAGGGGCTAAGTGTGAGCACTGCACGTGGGTCACACCCATGCTGTGCTACTAAGACACGACCTCATCCTCAAGTCTTCACCATGGACCACAGCCATTGATGAGGGGCATTGCCTGGAGCCCTGTCACCACTGACAAAGGTACAGCAACCATGGAGACCACCTCTGCCAATAGAAAGAGGCAGATCATGTCGTCCCCGCTTCTGCTGACTCGATCATTTAAAGTATTGATGTGCATGCCACTATCTCCTTGCCTCCATCGGATCAATTCCCTGCTAACTAGGTGTGTTCTAAGCTTTCCATTTAGACGGTGCTCCTGGAGGGAGGAGGAAAGACAACACTGCTTTCTTCCCTGCCTTAATGTTGTATCACAACTATCTCGTGTCGGGCCAGTCTTTCCTTTCGGTCTAATTCTCTAAGCTCATTGGCAAATGCCTCTTTTATTACCCTTAGGATTTGTCTACTAAACATTGGCTTTCTGGGTGCCTGCATCCCTAGCAGTCTCCAGTCCACCCTCTTGTTCATCCTTCCTTTGGCGTTCCGTAAGCTGTGTAAATGTGAAATGACGACCAGTTACCTGCCCATTCTGTCCTGTGTGTGCACGTGCACACACACATTTGTATCTAACAGCTTTCCCTCCAAAGCCATTGTGAATCATTACCTAGGTCTTGTCAGCTGCACTGTGATATTATCACAATGAAGAAACTCCCTTTCTCAGTCACTTACCCTTTTATTTTTTTATTTTTTCTGAGCCATCCTGCCCTGTTGGCAGCTCAGCTCGGGCCGGGAATCAAACCAGTGACCCTGTTGCTCAGAGCTTGCATTTTTTTTTTTTAAAGATGTTATTGCGGAATTGGGGGAGGGGAACAGCATTGGGGAATCAGGGCATGTTGGTATTATCATTGCACTCTTCCCAGGTGAGGCAGATCAGTTGCTGGCCACTGGACAACCACTCACGGCGGCTCTTGGCAGCTCACTCTGGCTGCCGGCTGCCAACCACACACAGTAGCTTATGGCAGCCCACTGCAGCAGGGGCTGCGGCCTAAGCCGACGCCTCACAGGATCCCAGCTCCAGGTCGAGCTGTTGTTCACCATCTTAGCTGTAGAGGGCGCAGCGTCACTGGCCCTAATGTGAGATCAAACCGGGGCCCTGCTGCTCAGAGCTGGCGTCCCAAGCCAGCTCTTAATCAACGCGCCACTCAGTTGGCCCAGAGCTCTACTCTTGAGCAAGCTCTTAACCAACTGAACCACCCGGCCAGCCCTAGTCACTTTCCCTTTTAGAGCCTCTGGTGTAGAATTATGGAGGACAGAGCCCCCCACACCCAGCCTCCCCGTCCCTTTCCAACACTGACAGAATTCAGTATGAAAGGATGACTACACTTTTTGTCAGGATTCTTACTTAGTGGTCAGATATATAGTTTTGAGTATGAGAAGATTTAGCAGATGTCTACATTATGCTGGCCAATAAAACTTGCTGCAATGACGGAGATGTTTAGGATCTGCTGTCCTGTGTGGCAGCTACTTGCCACATGGGGCTACTAGCACTTGAAATGCATCACGGTGATGTGGGAATGGGATTTTAAATTTGATCTAAGGTTAACGAACTTAAAGAGCCACTAGCTTTAGCTGTTGCATGGATGGTTCACGTCTGAATATGTTACCATTCTTTTTGCTTCTTTTAATCTATATTAGAAATTATCCACATCTTTCTTTGGGGAGTATTCTATTTTCTTTTTATCCTGACTCATATTTTTTTACTTCTCTGATTTGTCAATTTCTGTAACTTATGTGGGTTCATTTAGAAGCCGTCAACTCATTTCCAAAACATTTTCCGTGACATAGTCTGTCCCAAGGCTCATTAACTAGTGGAGTCCCACAGACACATTTCCAGCCTACCCACCTGCTGGTGCTTTTGTTGGTGTCAGAATACTCATGCAAGTAGCCTGAAGGTTCAGAAATAGCAGGCAGATGAGGAAACCACCCTCATCAGTTATTTCTTTGAAATTGAATTGGTCCTTCTATTGTCATCTTTTCATGCTTCAGGGGTACCTGTGCTGGCTCTTAACTCACTGTCCTAAAACCTGAGTGTTGCTAAAAGCCCATGAGAACGCTTCCACTCAGCTCCCAGAACGCTGACAGACTTTCTCATTGCGTGTACCGGCTGGGGTGAAGAAGCGGTCTGAGGTTGTCAGTTGTCTTTCCACCTGATTTCTCCTGACAATTGCCTCCTTCATGTTTTTTTTAGCCACATCATTCTATGCAGGTGCCAATTCTCAGGCCTCACCCCAGGACCTAATGAATCACAAGTTCTGGGGTGGGGGCGGGGACCCCGACAATCCCACAGGGTGACTCTGGTGCATACTCAGAATAAAAGAATCACATTTTATATTTCAGGTCAACAAATATGCCTAAAGTAAGTTTGTAATTTATGTTTTACTTAAGAATTGTGCCCAGTTTTATTATTTTACAAGAACGAAGCAGGGGATAAAAGTAAGCTTCACACTTCTGATCACTGGCAAGCTGCTGACCACTGGGCAGACGATCTGTATTCAAATGAATCCTTATTCACTAGAGTACAGGATTCAAGATCAGTTATGCTCCGAACACGTGTGCAAGCTGTATTGTACATAATTACAAGAGCTGGCGGACTCCAGGCCCATCAGTAGGAGCGAATGGCGGGGGGGACTGTGGCGCAGTCGGCCTCATTCAAAGTCTTGTCGATTACGGGTCTGTATTCCAGCGAGACCTTAAAGAGAAGAGTTGGTGGTAAGCTGAGGCACAAAATGTACTGAGAGCACTCTCCTTGTGCTCTTAAAAAATTAACTGTACAAGTGGATTTGCAGACAAGTATGCAGGAACTTAAAGGTATTCACTGGAGCATTTGTCAACAACAAACTCAAAAACGATCTAAGTGCACAGCAGGGCTAGCCATGTCGCTGTGGTAAATCCACGCAGTAGAATCCAGCAATTAAAACAAACTACAAAATTCTTGATGCGTTACAAAAATGCTCCAAATGTAGGTAAAACCCTATATATACGGTCACACTTGAAATAACTTTATACTCTGTATTTCCAGTTTTTTCTATTTGTAAGTGAATATTTACACACATACACATAGGCAAAGTATGTACACATACACAAAACTTGTAAGAAATACTTCAAAATGACAATAAAGGATATTTCTTTCTTTTTTTTTTTCATTTATTTGTCCTTTTTTTTAAAGCTGAGCCATCCTGCTACCTATTGGTAGCTCAGCAGCTGCTGAGCGCACGCCAGGAATCGAACCGCTTTTGCTCACAGCTCAAACTCTTGAGTGAGCTCTTAATAAACTGAGCCACTCAGCCGGCCCAATAAAGGATATTTCTAATTGGTGAGCTTATAAAGGTTAATTTTCTTTATTATTTTTGTACTTTCTATGCTTTCTAACATGAGAAATGTATTTCTGTTATAATCATAAAAACCCCACATTACTAAAAATTAGCTTGTACTGACAGGGGAAAGTCTGACTTCTTCCTGTAGTGTCAGAAAATAGCCTTCCTGAAAAATGATGGAAACTACTGCCGGTCACAGTAGGTGTCACTGTGTTTTAAGCAATGAGCACAGAGCACAATTTCTGCAGACCCACATCAATGATCAAGACTAACCCTTACAAGCTATAAAAAGCTTAAGGTTAAACGCTATACCTCAACTATTCCTGAATAGTAACAGCTGGCACCGACGCACAATGGGTGAACGTGTTAGGTAAAACGAGGCCGGCAGCCTCTGCTGCGACCTCCACTGGCTATTCCCAGGACCTGCCCACCGCTCCCCGCTTCTGCTCGCTCCCAGCATCCCCTGGGCTTCCCTGAGGCTGCCTCCAGGTGGTCCAGCCAATGGGAGGGCACGGCTAGGGTGTCTCCCATCCCACCCCCACCTCCCACCCCCCTCCCTGGGCTCCAGAATCACCATCTCTGCCCTCCAAGGCCAGCCCTCTAACCCACCCAGCCTGGCTGAATCCTGCTTCCAGGCAAAGCCTGACTGACAGGGTCACTTTCAATGGGCTGTCACATATGTCAGCAGTCGATGAAGATCCACGCTGCTGGTCCCAAGTCCATCAAATGCAGGTGTCTGTTGGTGCACGTGAGCAGACCACGCCCCCCACCTACCTTCCCGGTCCTGATGTCGACGTAGGAGAGGCTGTGCTTCCTCCAGTGCTGCTCAAATGGCTTCCGTTGCTGCCCCTGGATGGGCTTGGAGTAGTCGTACTCGTCCACCCGTTCCTGAGGCCGACAGACACTTGTTTCAGCAAAGACTGTTGACACTTACACCCCACACATCTCACTGCTCAAACAGCAACACAGTCAGAAAATGGCAAACTCACCGCCAGTCTGGTATGAGCCCCTACCCCACTTAACAAGGAGGCCCCGCTGTCCCCAGCTGGCCTTGTTCAGACCTGGACCGTCCTTGTCCCTTTTCCAGCCCAGGCCCTGCCCTCTACAATTCCTAACGCACCGCACGTAACACAGTGCAACTCAGTACCAGACGCAGGGTGTGCAGAAGCGCCACGTGCCCGCCACATGCCAGCGGTCAGCCTCGAGTCACTGGCAAGCCCCTCTGGAACGGCCCATCCCAGAACCCAGCCTGCACGCAGCCCGTGTGCACCACGGCCCGAGTCCCGTCAAGGTCAGGACCGCTGTGGCCGGCCACCGGCTGGCAGCAAGCAGGTTTGCAGTGGCACCTTGTAGTCTTCCCTGGCATGAGCCCCACGCGACTCCTTCCGGGCCTCCGCCCCGTAAATGGTCTGAAGCGCACAGAGCATCAGGTTCTGCAGCTCCAGGGTCTCCACCAGATCAGTGTTCCAGACCATCCCTGGGGACACACAAGGCTCCCGTGAGACAGACGGTCCAGTCAGACACCCCCTGCCCCCGTCAGTGATGATGGGGCATCCAGCACCCAGCGAGGGCACGGGCCCGGGAGCCGCTCACCTCTATCGAACGTCTTCAGGTGCTGGAGGTCCCCATACAGACGGCTGACCTTCTCACAGCCTTCCTGCAGCACGCTGCCCACCCGGAACACAGCGGCGTGGTTCTGCATGGTCTGCAACACAAAGCCCCACTTGACCTTGACGCACACAAGGCCGCCCCAGCCATGGCTAACCCCCCAGATGTTCTTCTTGTGCAGCTCATTCTTTGTAAAGTGTTTATGTAAATTAAACAGAAAACTGGGAAATGCAGACTGTGTTTGTTACTCTAAATTTTAAAAGGTGGTTTTTGTTTGTGAGATACTCTCCTAGCAACACCGTGCAGTGAGTACATCACATCCCCGGGACATATTCCTAGCTGGAAATTTGTACCCTTTGACCCCCTTCACTCATTTCGCCCACTCCCACTTCTGGCAACCACCAATCTGTTCTCTGTATCTATGAGCTTGGTTTTGTGTGTGTGTTTTAAGGTTCCAGTGAGATTATACGGTCTCTGCGTTCCTCTGACTTAGCTCACTTATCATTTAGCACAGTGCCCACATGCTACTGCCCACGGTGGGACGCCCTCCTCTTTTATGGCTGAAGAACTGCACACACGTGCCACTCTTCATCCATTCCTCTGTTGTTGTTTCCAAGTCTTGGCTACTGTAAGTAATGCTTCAGTGAACACGGAGGAGCATGTATCTTCTCAAGTTAGCATTTGCGTTTTCTTTGGATAAATTCCCATAAGTGGAATTGCTAGATCTGATGGTAGTTCCATTTTTAATTTTTTTTTTAACATTTTATTGGGGAATTTGGGGAGGGGAACACCGTTAGGGGATCGGGGAAGGGGACAAGTTGCTGTCCTTTTGTTCTTCAGTCTAGTTGTGGAGGACATCGCTTCACTGGCCCATGTTGGTATTATCACTGTGTTCTTCCCGGGTGAGGCAGATCGGTTGCCGACCTCTGAAGGCTGCTCACAGCGGCTACTGGCAGCTCACACCTGGTGCCGGCTGCTCACACCGGCAGCCCACTGCAGCCTACGCTGTCGCCGGCCACTCACGGCGTCCCAGCTCCAGGTCGAGCTTTTGTTCACCATCTTAGCTGTAGAGGGCGCAGCATCACTGGCCCTCATGTGGGATCCGAACCAGGGCCCTGCTGCTCAGAGCTGGCATCCCAAGCCAGCTCTTAACCAATGCGCCACTCGGCCGGCCCAGGATCTACCTTTGTTTCTTATCATTTACTGAATGACTTTTCCTGTCATCGCTCCTGAAAAAACCCCTTTATCGTGTGCTAAATCACAGCATGTACCAAGGCCAGTTTCTGGACTTGATTTTGTTCTACTGACCTAGATGTCTCTTCCTCTGCCAGTATCAGGCTAATGGAGCTATACAAGTTAGCTTACTTAGAAGCTCTACTTCTTTAAAATGACACATCACTTCTTTAAAATGAGGTGGTAATGCACAGCATCAATGTTAAGGTTTTTCAGGAAGAGCAAATGGACAAAGATGTCTTAGTGTCTAGTAAGTATCAGGGAAAACACTCTTCCTGGTCTCCAGTCGTGTTTTGCATATCTTTTCCACAGTCCTGGTTAGGTCGTTCAAGGCATTTTAACCTTTTTGACTGCACTGCACATGAGATTAACTTCTGAATGCATTATTGCTGGCACCTTGGAAAGCTGCTGATTTTTGGATATGCATCTTTTATCCAGACACCTTATTTCATTCTTACATTGTTTCTATTAGTTTTTCAGTTTATTCTCTTGGAATTTTTAGGTAATCATATCTGTACGTAATGATAATTTTGTCTATTCCTTTTCAATACATACCTCATTTCTTTTTTGTCTCTCACTGTATAAGCTGGAATCAGCAGAAAAGTTACTCCCCACACTCAAATGTACACCCCACAAGGGCAGGACAGTCTGTGTTCTGTTCACTGCCGACTCTGGCATTTGGAACACTGCCTAGCACATGGCAGATACCAGTACCTGCCTCATTTGGTAGAAAAGCCTCTAGTGCTTCCTAGCTTAGTCTCTGACTTCCACAGCCCGTCTAGCACAGGGTACGCCTGTCCCAGCAGTCAGCACCCTACAGAAGTGCCGCAGTGCCTTAAACTTGCTTGTCCCTTCACTCATGCTCTTGTCTTTACCACTTCAGGAAGCCTCGGTGAGGCCCAACCCACTTGGAGACTGAACCGCAGCCCCACAGAAGGGCTACACGCAACTTTTTCCTGTTGGTGGTGTCTGTGTATGTGCCACTGGACCCCTTTCACAATGGGACAAAAGCAAGAGGCTTCTTTTCAGGAAATGTCCCCACACAGAAATTTTGCAAATAATTTAAAGTGGACAGAGATTTTGTTCATGGGCCAAGAATCCCTGTATTAAAAGAATTTGCTGGGCCAACCGAGTGGCTCAGTTGGTTAGAGTGTGAGCTCTGAGCAAAACAGGGTTGCCGGTTTGATTCCCACATGAGCCAATGAGCTGAGCCTGAGCCGAGCTGCCGCTGAGCTGGTGAGAGCGTGTGCTCTTAACAAGATTGCTGGTTCAACTCCTGCACAGGATGGTGGATTATGCCCCCCCCCGTAACTAGAATGAAAAGCGGCGACTGGACTTGGAGCTGAGCTTGCACCCTCTACAACTAAGATTGAAGGACAGCTTGACTTGGAGCTGAGGGGTCCTAGAAAAACACAATGTTCCCCTTCCCCAACTCCCCAATAAATTAGAAAAATAAATTAAAAAAAGAATTTGCTTGATTCCTATCTGTTTTACATACTATTTTTATTGATTTAAACCTGTTTTAGCCAATGCAGTAGTCACTAATCACATATACCTATCTACGCTAAAACTGAATTTCAGTTCCTTAGTCAGACTAGCTGCATTTCACGTGTTCTACAGTCACGTGTGTTCAAAGATAATGGAACATTCCCACCCTCACAGAATGTTCCATCAGACATGCTCTCGAAGGTAAACACTGACAATAACCAATGCACAGATTAGTTTCCACCCATGATCCAGGCTCCCCACTCCCTGATTTTAGAGGTGTCAATGGGCTCAGTTTAGAGGCATTTCCCAGTGTCACTGGAAGCTAGATATGCAGATGGGATTAATTTCTCAGCAATGAGATGTGCTGGGCTTCCAGGAGGCCTGCTAAAAGGAAGCTTCTGAGGAAGACTGAGCCTCCCGGACCTTCCACTGCCCCACCTTCAGGCTGTGGCATCCACAGATGGTGAGGAGGGAAGCCCACACACGAGTACCCTGGAGCGCATGACAAGACTGAGTCCCTGGGCAGCTGGTCCAGCCTTGTACGTGCAAAGACACACACTTCTGTCTCATCGGATCTCTTTCGCACCCCAACTTGCTACAGCAGGAATACGTCCTCCAGCTCTCACCCCAAAGCCTGTGCAGGCTGAGCATTCGGTTCTTACCTTCTGCATGTTGAGCCGTAGTTCCGATGTTCTTATGCTTCCATCAGCAAATCTCAATTTGTCTAGGTTCATGACAGATTCTTCCCCAGCATTTGCTTTAATTGGGGGAACTTTATCTCCTTAAAAAATAAAAAAAATAAAAAGCTAGAATTTAACCTCTGAAAAACACTGAGAAAAACTAGATGGATTGCATGGCACCAAGTGTGAACTACACCCTTTCAGGGGGTTTGGAAAATGCATACAGAACCCCACCTGGACCACCTTATACCCGAGGAACCGTAGGTTGACTTGGGGCCAAAGACTAAACATAAAGACAAAATTTCTAGCAAACAGTAGGTGTCTTAATAAGCAATTTTTGAATGAACTAGAGAGAAACCATCTCTTAAGTTTAAACATTAATTTATGCAAACACACTTTGCACTATTACTCTACTAAGGGAAAAAATGGTATCCTTCAAAATAGCGTTTCTCAACAATTGTGCTAACACCCTCTCCACCCGGGTCTCCTGCTGACCCTGACCCTTGTGCACTCTTACTTAAACCTCAAAGTTTGCTCTTCTACCTTTCTATAAGTGTTTTGAGGACTTTTAAGGCTTTTCTATGATACCATGGAACATATTTTATTCAGCAGGTGATACGTGTAGGAGGTATGAAGTGCAGGAGAGGAAGGTCTGCAGGTAGAGCAGAGCTGCTCACAGCTACTCTCCAGCTAGGCGACCCAGCACTGGCCTCTCTGCTGCCGGCCTGAGTTCTTCTAAGCAGCCTGCTGGTTCGTTTGCTTTTGGTTTTAATGTTTTAAAAAACGGTCATTCAGCAAAAATTACTTTCTCCTGTAGGTGCATAGTTCTACGCATTTTAACACACAACGGATTTCTGTAATCACCATAGTCAGGATACAGAATGGTGTTTCAACATTTCAATGTTTAAAATATTCCCATTTTGAAAAGAGTAGTAATGCAAACATTTTTCCATTCCTCTTTTCATTTTGAAATTACAGGACAAGTAAGGTACAGCATCATGTTTAGAGCTTTGCGACGTTGGACAGAGGTGCCCAGGCCCCACCACGGGCAGGATGGGGTCCCTGGCAATCTCATCCATCCACCTTAGTCCCTAGTTCTGCCTTTTCTAGAATGTCATCTAAATGGAATCGTACAAATGTAGTCTTGTCAGTCCTGATCACACAGCTCAAATCTAAGAGTCATACTTCCGCTGCACATGTGACCATTTGCTCTTTGTATTGCTGAGTGTAAAATACATGTAAGTGTGCACTGATCCTTCAGATATAGAAGTCTAAGGTATTCTCATGAAACTTCCTTAGTCTCATCTTCAGAGAAAGGGAAACTTGAGTTTTCCACTCTGCGCTGACAGACTGGGCACCGAGCTCAGTGATGGCGAGGTGAGTAGCCCTGGCACATTCAAAGTGGGCTGCAGCGGTGACTGGAGACAAGGCCGCACCCCTGCGTCTCAGCCTGGCGCTGTGATTAGCATGGGGCGGAATGAACATGCTGCCGCCCCTTACTACGCACACCTCAGCAACTGCAGACACCAAAGTGGGTACGGCACCTCGTGCCACTAAGGTCTATGTTTCATTAATCGCTTTCACCAACTTAAAATCTATGCAAAAAACTTGTTTGATATAAACAGCGAAACTGATACTGAACAGTTAAAAATACCAACGAGTGTAATGTTAATGGGAAGACTGGGGACCCAGGGACCCCACCGTCCTGGCCTCAGGAAGTGTCTCCCACTCACACTGCTGTTGTAACAGACAGGGCAGGGTCACCAATGTGAGGGCCTTTGGGGGGCAGAGCAGCAGGAGCTGTCCTGTTCTCAGTGGGGCTCATTACATGTGGGCTCACACTTAAGAGTACTCGGATCTTCCTCTGCAAATAGTTTAGTTACCACCAGAAGAAAAGCATGGCTTCAGATCCATTCTGTCACTAACAGGGGAGCCATGACCCAGCCCGTGTTTCGTGTGCATCCCGCCATCCTTTCTCCTTTAGCAGATAACTTACACTTTGATTTTAGAACGGCCTAAATTATTTTTCTGTAAGTACCAAGAACTTATATATGTATTTATACCCATGAGTTTAAATATTTCATTGCAAATACGTAACTAACTTATATTGGGCAAGTAATGTGAAAAACTTTCCCTGAAAAGAATAATTTCCTAACAGTGACTTTTCTAAGTAGAGCATAATGACTGCAAACTAAAATTCTGACCCAAAGAGTTACCCTGTCAACTGTTAAGACCCCACCCAGCCTGTGTCCTGTGTCCCGTGTCCAGTTTCATCTATCAGCATGAAACCTCTGAGTGTGTTTCGTCACTTCTGGAGAGAAAGCAGACTCGCAGTGTGTGTTCACAAGTACCCCGACTCTACAAGCACCTGGTTACTTGATGAGAACCGTACCGGGTCTGCAGGACTCTGCGATGCTTAGGGCGCATGCCCGGCCGAAGACGACCAGATCAAGGAGCGAGTTGGCCCCGAGACGGTTGGCGCCATGCACGGAGGCACAGGCAGCCTCCCCACAGGCGTACAGGCCAGGCACGACCTGGTCCTGGCCGCTCACATGCCTGAGAACCTGCAGAAAGAGAAGGGGGCAGCAGACGTGAGAGTGCGGCCTGTGTAAGGAAGACTGGGTGTCACAGAGACCCTCCGCACGCACCGCCCTGTCCCCCTCGGCCCCCGATATGCCACTACCCGTGCCGAGGGGTCAGAGCAGCCCAGACGGCAGCACCTGGGACTTCAGTGCCATGTGTAGTTCTCACCAGGAAGCTCACCCACCACTCTCTGGCTGTGGACTCAAGGGAGGGAGCACGCAGGCTGCAGCAGTGAACTGGGAGGCAGAGGCTGAAGCGGTACGCCAGGCCCTTCTGGCTCATTGCCCGCCTACAGTGAGACCACCCCGCCACCAGCCCCACCTGACGCCTGGCGGAAGAGCTGTGTGAACTGCACACTACCCAGAGGTATGAACTGGAAAAGACTCAACTTACAAGGTCACTGTAAAGATACCATGAGGTCGTATAGAAAAATACTGCAAATGACACTATGACTATTCACTAAGGTGGGATGAGAAATCATTAAGAATTGACTAAGGAGTGAAGGCAAAACACTGGGACCTCCCAGGCCTTCCTCTGCCGTCCAGTAGCAGCAGTTCGAGTAAGTGCGGACATCGAACAGCACACACATGGCCATCGGACAAAGTCATCTCCTCTGTCTCTACCTACCATCTACCTACAAGGGCCACTGAGAGGCGGGCCCACTGTCCCCGCCCTCCCTGTGGTGTCACCTGGCCCTTGTGGTTGGTGGGAATGCCACCCATGTTATAATGCACGGTGGGGAGGACGGGGATCGGCTCCTTGGTGACGTCCACGCCCGCAAAGATCATGGCGGTCTCTGAAATGCCGGGCAGGCGGATGGCCAGCTGCTCTGGGGGCAGGTGGTGCAGCTGCAGGTACACATGGTCCTTCTCAGGGCCACAGCCCCTGGTGGAAGGATACAACACAGAGTGAGACAAACAACAGCTCTGACAAGACGGGAGGTTACAGAACCACCGAACCGTGGCACGCTCCCCATTTTCTCACACCCGATAAAATCCATTCACCTTGTCTTTTCTAAGCACCTACTATGTGCCAGTGTGGACTCCAGAGGCCAGACACAGCCAGCCGTGAGCCACACGCACGTCCCATCCTCACTGAACTGTGTGCCACTGTTTCCTGGGTCAGTGTATTACAAAGCCCTTTTATGCCAAATACTCCAAAGAATCATTTGACCTCTCATTTTTACGTAAAAATGGAAAACCTCCAAGGGCTATACCAGCAGCTATTTGCTGTGTCACCAGCGTAAGGAGCAGTGTCAGCCACTGATGAGCCTAAAACTGCCTTGTTGAAGAACAAAGCACGCACAGATGAGACAGCACAACGCCAAGGGCTCACGTGCTGTCTCATTTGTGAACAGCGACTGTGTGTATCACACTCTCACAAAGTATGTCCCATAGGCTGGAGAGAGTTACGCCCAACTGGCTAAACTTCTCCAAAGGCAGGCTTCTGGGGAGAGGAGAGTTGAGGCAACAGTCGGAGGCAACAGAGGTGAGCCCACCGCCTGCGCTCACACAGAGGCCACACCAGCCCATGTTAAGACGCGGACATGAACATCGCCCACCAGACACACTGGGGACAGGTGCACGGACCTGCCTTCGCGGATCTCCAGAGTCATGGACCGAGACACGACATCTCGGGAGGCCAGGTCCTTGGCAACAGGGGCGTACCGCTCCATGAAGCGCTCACCCTGGCTGTTGATGAGAATGCCGCCCTCGCCGCGGCACCCCTCCGTGATGAGACAGCCGGCGCCATAGATGCCTGCAAGACCCAACCAAGTCACACCTGCACCTGACAAGTGCGAGGTCTCTACTTCAAATGCAAGTGCGTTTTCAAAGCGTGGGGGGAGAGGAAGCAGTAAGTAAAGGGCATTACACTCCACAGGGTACGACAGGAAACACTCAGCACTACTAAGTGGGCGTGTGGATGACAACACCGCATGGGGACGGTGGACGGCTGCCGTGGACAGTAACGCAGCCCCACGAACTCTCCCACTTTAACTTTTCAACACAGCTAGGACACGTTCAACAGCTCAGGTCCTGTTTTCCTTTTTGAACATCCTTTTACACCCAGAAACTGTGGTGACCAGTTTAGGTAAGAAAAGCCAGCTTGGAAAGTTCATCTCTGAGGTAACCAAATACCAAGGGCAGTAACTACAGTTAATACTTACACTGTCCTTAGTGCAATTCTGGCTCCAGGTACTCTTCTCCCCACTTTCAGAGACAGGCAATGAAAGCTCAGTAAGCTAGCTTGCCCAACGCTCCGCAGCTGGGACAGGCAGAGCCCAAAGTCACAGAGGACACCTGCCAGGTCCACGCCCTTCACCCTGGCTGTCCCTCAACCTAATGAGAACAAGAAGGCTCCGCCTCGCTTGGATTTTAACAAAGGAGACAAAAAATGACATAATCCGACAGCTGACTCTCTCACTCGCACACCAGAGGGGCTCTCTTGCTTTTACAACGAGAATGCAAAATCCTGCATTTCGTCAACTTTTCAGTTTTCCTAGTTTCGATGGCATTTTCCCTAGTGATTTCCTTCTCATACACTAAATAAGGAACGTGACAAACGGAGCTCGAAATACATTACAGAGACAGTCCACAAGTCTCAGACTTCTCAATTTTACTGGTTGAAGCTAGTAATTATAAAAGCACCTGATACATTTTTTATTTTTCATAGAACATAGCGGAAAGCTAAGAGAGAAAACAGGTCTCGCTCTTAGCGTGGTGGCCACTGCCACTTATGGGAGGCTCCTCTGTTGACAGGTCAGAAAAGAAACCAAGAAAGAAATTTGGTCAGCATGAGATTCATCTCCCAAGAGACAGGTTCTCAGGCTCAGTACTGGATAACACCCCCAAACTCTCTCAAGCCGGCACCCCCAGCCTAGAGCCCCCATCCAAATCCCACACTTGTACACCCAACTGTCTGACGCCCCAAGACGAGCTCATGTCCACCATGACTCGCACCCTCACTCATCAGCACCTCTTGGAGCCCTGCCTGTCACAGCTGTGTCATGACATCACCGGTCCCATGGCAGCCTGATGTTCACCCCACAAACTCAATTCTGCCTAGGCCACTCTTCTGGTTTTCATGAGACTCCCTCAGTAAATACTGGCCGAGGCCTCACCAGGTGCTAGGCACCGAGGACAGTGACCGAGCCTCCCGGAATGGACAGTACAGTAGGGAGGGACACTGAGCAACTGCTGCTTTGCGACTAGGATGAGCACACTGGGCCAGGTGCAGCTTAGACGGGACCTCAACTGCCTTGGGGGATCAGGGGCAGCCTCCTGGGGAAATGACACATTAGGACCCAAGGGACGGGAAAGGGACCACAGAGGAGCGGCCTATAGGTACTGATGCTTAAAAGACACAAAGAGCCTGATTCTATGAATGCAGCCCGTCCTACCTGTGGGGTGGAACTGAACGAACTCCAAGTCCTGGCAGGGAAGGCCTGCCCTGGTAATCATGGCGGTGCCATCACCGGTGCTGGTGTGGGCCGACGTGCAGCTGAAGTAGGTGCGCCCATAGCCCCTGGAAAGAGACAGTTGGCAGAGTGGTGACTGCACACAGCGCCCATCAGGACCTCCTCTCGAAGGGCACCAGCTACACGCAGCAGCCCGTGCAGGACCACTTCTGCGCACAGTGCCCTCTGTACATGCTTCCTGGGCGACTGGAAGGGCGCCTGGGGACCGAGGGCACGCTCACTTCTGTACTGTTCAAGTGACTGCCCTTTGGAGGAGCACTTATCACTTCTATAACAAAATTTTTAAATGTTTAAGGCTCACTTTTTTAAGGGTTAAAATAACAGACTGTCTGTATAAAATGAAATTTACTCCTTTTCATCACGTGAACAAACAGCACTAACCTACCTTGGAAATTAGTAAAAACAGTGTCCATTAAAGCAAGAGATGTTATTCCAGAAAGTGTCACGTGAGTCTCCAGGCCTCAGTTTCCTCCAGGGTCCTCCCCACTGCAGGGCAGGTGCTCCCCTTGGGAGAGGAGGAACTGAGGCTGGCTCAGGTGACTACCCTCCCAGGTCTGCTTCTGAATCACTATTCCAACTGCCTGCCGTTATTAGAATGAAGACTCCCTGAAAGTAGGCTTCCCGACAGAGAAGCGAAGCACCATGAAAACGAGATTCCTACCCAGTAGCTACAACGGTGTTCTTCGCTCTTATGCGATGGATGGACCCATCTTCTATGCACAGCGCGATGACACCACGACACTCCCCATTTTCCATCAGGAGATCCAAAGCAAAGTATTCTACAAAATAGCTGGTATCGTATCGCAGAGACTAAAAAAAAAAAAAAAAAGCACATTTCCCACTGCATTGAGAGTGTTAAACCCCACTGCAGGTGACATGTTCATGTGAACAGGGGAAGGCCTTGTCTGGTGGGTAACAAACGGATCGGGTAAGCCCTGGAGAATACCAGGCTGGAAAGGGGTCACAGACGTCAAGTCACACCACCCACAGTGCTGGTGCAATCGTGTAACAACTTGAAAGGGGCTCAGCTCCTAGTTGTCTGAACGAAACATATGAAGGATAGGATGCACACACGCCACTGCAGGTCAGAGAAGAGACCGGTGATGTGCTCGCACAGCCCTTGTTGCCACATATCCTGGGAGTCATTCCAGGCTTTCTGGAGCCACACACAGCAAACTCCCCTCAGAGTTTGACGCCAGAGCTGGACCCACGGACCACAGGGTCTCAGCTTACACTGGGCTGTACTATATGAGAGCTGCTGGCCACACGCAGCCACTTAATCTAAATACAACAAAACATTCTGCCCCTCAGCACACCGGCCACATTTGTGATGGTCACAAGGGGTGGGCAACTGCTGGACTGGTTTCCCCGGCAGCAGGTTCGGTACTGGACAGCCATGGCCCAGGCACTGGGTCCAACGTCCCCTCAGTTAACAGAAAGGTCTCTCACTGAAAGTGCCAGCACCCCATGTAACACTCAATTCCATGGGATAGGCAGGTCCTGTCACATATCTGTCTACACACTTGGCCAGAGAAGCCACTGGTGTCCTAATATTTGCAAATCAATGACCTGTCCTCATTGGAAAACCGGAGTTCAAAATGTGGATTATCTGGCCATGCCGATGCTGGCCCGGCTTGTCCCATGACAGCTACGAGTATCCCTCAGGTCTTAGTGCAGTTTTAACAGTTAAATATTAAAACCAATCAATTGGCTGAAGAACTCAGAGGTGGTAAAAGAGCTTTAAATTCCCTGTTGTGCTCTTCTACTTTCAGGGTGGCAGGTCAGCAATTCAAACCTGGTCTGTGCTGATCATGAATTTGTCTAAAATAGAAACTTTCAAATAAACAACTAGTGTACAAAGCCGCCAGGGTTATTCTGTGGCTCCTGAAGACACTCCTCAGGCCTGTGTGCTGCCCCTCTGACCCGCCCCCAGGGTGCCCGTGCCCAGGTCATCAGCATGCCTGTCCGGCCCCGGGCCCTAGGTGGCCTCACTCACCCGTCCATACAGTGTATGCAGCAGCGAGTGGCCGGTGCGGTCAGCCACGCAGCAGCAGCGATGGGCCTGCCCGCCCTTCCCAAACTGGAGGCTTTGTCCGCCAAAAGCACGCTGGTAGATCTTCCCATCTTCGGTTCTGCTGAACGGCATGCCGTAATTCTCTAGCTGGAAAATGTAAAAACAACATCTCGCATCCCAAAGGGATCGAGATACTCCAGGCTACTGTACCCTGCACAACTTCAACCTAAACCTGCAGACCCAAACGAGCACACCTTATGGAAATGGTGACACTTCAGAGACCAGGAGCATATCCTGGGGTAGTGAACGGAGCAGCTTGTAAGACGGAGCCACGCCCCCCACCTACCCCCGCCCCCTTCAGCTCGCTCCCATCGTTTCTGCTGACCACATCTGCCTGAATCCCACTGGAAACAGGCTGTGAGGACGTTACCTCAACCACGGAGGCGGGGGCCTGCTCTGTCATGTAATGGATGGCATCCTGGTCCCCCAGCCAGTCGGAGCCCTTCACGGTGTCATAGAAGTGCCACCTCCAGTTGTCCTCCTCCATGTTCCCCAGGGCAGCATTGATCCCTCCCTGAAACACAGAGCAACCTCAGCAGCTACAAATGGAGCTCCCACGGCCCTCCCCGGGAACCGCAGTGGGAGGAAGCCAGGAACGTGCGAGACAACTCTCTGTGAGGAGTCTGACCAAGGGCGGTTCCAGGACCTTCCTTAGCAGGAAGGCAACACTGCACGGAAGGTCCTAAAGCACGGTCCTCCACGCACCGAGCCAGTGATGGGGCCGAATCCCGCATCCCTCGGCCTCAGTCTGCTCATCCGGGAACGGGACATGAAGCTGAAGTCCTCGAAGAGGTGTCTGGGACTAAGTGGGAAGTTACATGTGCAGTGCTCACTGCTCACCAAACCCGGCACGGGAACGGTGCTCTACAAATCCGGTAACTTTACACAAAACGTTCCCATGTGTTGAAGACAAGAGGTGCTTCCTACCGAATGGTCCACTGCAAGCGCAGACTCCCCCCGCCACTACTGCTGTGCCCAGCCCCTCCTCCTTCATCTTGCCCCACTGGCTCCGCCCCTCAGAGGCACAGAAAACGTATGTGACGCTCACCCTTTCCCACCCAACTTAAAACTGGATTCCCCCGCTTTACATTCTCTTTTTCACATGTAAAGGCACATTTTCTAACTTCCCTCTTTTCCAACTGTTAGTCAATGTCAACTTTTGAGTCCAGCAGACCCTCTTGGATCCCTTCCTCAAATCATGCTGCTGTGCCTCAGACACCCCAGTTATGTGAGGAACCTTGTCACTTCCTTTCTCCAGCCCCTCCAACTGTAAACCTGAACACAAACCTGACAAAGTATATCAGTACCAGAGTAGGAGCAGCGTACAGAAAGCTCGGCCTGGCACGTGCACAAATGCTGTCATTTTATCGCCACTATTAGTAAGAATCTAGGCCACAGATGCCTAGCCTTCCCGGCGTCCTGAGACTCTCCAGGCCCCCACCTGTCTATCCCTTCCAATTAAGTCTCTTCTCTCAAGAGCCACCAGTCAAGTTAAGCCACCCTCTCTTACTCTTCTATTAATATCACTCTGCTTTGCACTATTACTTAGAATGGTCTATATTTTTTCTTTTAGACAATGAAGTCTCCAGAGGTATACATTATCATCCATCCGTCAGCTTACGAATCACAGCTTGAGAACAAAGGATATGAACAGCTAAGGCCCGAAGTACGTCGAGGGACACTGAACACAGGCTGTTTCAGATGGGGGTGGCTTTTATGGTTCCTGGAAAGTCACCACTCACTCTGTTGTCTCCATGTTGGCAAGCTGGGCACAACCACAGTGTGCCTAGATCGACACTGAGTCATTTCCCACCGTCCTTCTGTCCTCCTCCCTAAACTCAGCCACGGTTTTCTGTCCTGCACACTCACATGTCACCAAAGCTCACTGCCACCACACCCAATGAGGCTTGTTCTGAGGAGGCGGCAGAACCATGAGCTTCCAGGCAGCTGGAGAACAAGCCCACAGACAAGCTCATTTCCGACTGGTCAGTGCAGTGAAGGAAATGACTCCAGAAGGGGCAGAGCGCTCGGTGGAGAGGTCAGAAAAGCCCTGAGTGTGACTGGAGTGGGACAAGACTGACGACAAGGCTCCCTGCAGGTGCCAAGAGCTCTGAGAGCGCCCCTTTGTCTTACCTGGGCCGCCACAGTGTGGGACCTGGTGGGAAACAGCTTGGTCACGCAGGCCGTGTTAAAGCCTGCCTCAGAGAGGCCAAACGCAGCTCGCAAGCCTGCCCCTCCGGCGCCCACCACCACAGCATCAAACTCATGGTCCACTACTGGGTACTGCGTGGAAATCTGGAGGGGGGTAAAAAAATCACTGGTCAGTCACCCATTCCAATCCGCCAGACGTGAGGCTGTGGTGACTGTGAAGGAAAATGAAACACAAAAGTAAAGCGACACTGCCATGTCTTGATGGTCTGCACTCTGTGTGGGATGAACAGCACCAGCTCAGCAGTCCTGGTGGTGTGCGGGGCACCGCCTCCCGCTGAGAGTGGCCACTGACAGGCCTGCTGCCGGGTGGAGCCATTGAGCCTGTGGAGCTAGGAGACCCACCAGGAGTGGAAATGCTGAAAACTTCAATCTACCCCTGAAAGCAGGGAACAAACTGTAGATGCATGGGAAAGCGACCGCAAATCAAAATGGTAGCTCCAACAGTGGTTTCTCCTTTCCATTATAACTTGATTTCTCTTCTCTCTGTCTGTACCCGTATATACAGGCTGATACGACTGTCCTTTGTGATCTGTGGCTTCCCGTGAAAATGTTAAAATGCTGCTTTTGGTAAGATAAGCACATTCCAGTTCATCGGGGTGATGACCTAAGAACCAAGGACCACAAGTCTGTTTCAGGGCTATGCTTGTGTTTTCATTCAACTGAGAATGAACCAGGCAGTATTAACGATTGTGATGTTATGAGAAAAGGACTTGTAAGCAAATTTCAGGTTCTTCAACGGAGAACAGAACGAACTCACTTAACACAAGGAGCCTCCGTGGTCCTATGCGGGTGGAGCAGGGATGGCAATATCCGCCACAGTAAATACTCTCTCTTCATTTGTCATTTGTATTATTTTGTTGCTTTGACTTAAAATTTAATCTGGTTTAAAGACACACAAGAGCTACAAGCAAGAAGACGTCAATATCTAGGTTTATGTTTGTACTACGAACAAGTACGACTACACTAAGAAATAATCTAGCATGCGTTAGAATGAGAATTTTTCCTTTAAATGAGACCTGTGCATTACTCAAACATATTAAAAAACCCCTCTAAGCCAAGAAAACCGTTTGTAGTGGAACAAAAAGCCATGAACTTACAGAATCTGAAACTTTAGCCGACGACCTCTTATTGCCATCCACAGCGAAGTGAAAACTGCGGGTGCCTGTCTGCGGCGTTGCCAGGCACTGCTGAGGTAGACGGAGAGCATAAGTGTCTCAAAGGCACAGGGGACTTCTAGTTAAACACCCCCCTTCTAAGCTGTTAACCTTTTTATGTACCCGGGTCCTCCCCTTCACCTGGGACCCGGGGCACACTCAGGACAACTTGGCACTCTGGGAAAAGCCCTTCTAGATGAAGCTTGTTTCTAAACAGGATACTCACCGACACAGGAAACAAAAAGGCACCCTTCACAGTAATTCTTATTTTATGTCACTTAGTGGACACTGGGATGGCATCCACATTGCACTCACAGTAGTTCTGCAAATGTTGAGGACCTTTTACTGGACCCACCCCGGTAACCCCCTTTTTGAGGCTGCGCCATCTGTGAGGTCTTACGGTTCCCCGGGAAGGGGCGGGACCTTGTGTCCGGACACCGAGGCTCTCGACCAGGCTCTACTGCTTGCGGTGACACTCAGGCACCAGCGCCACCATCCCTTCACTGTGTACACGAGGCCCCGAGACGCTACCAGCCCTGCTTCCGCACTCTCCACGTGGGCACAGGCTTCAGCCACCCCCCGCATCTGCCTGCACCACAGCGCCAGTCGCTGGGCCTGGACACTTGTCCCTGGCCTTTTCCTGGTCACCTCTACAGTTCTCCAGGTCTCAGCTTAAATGTCCCATCCCATCAACATGTACCCAAGAAAACTGGTCTTAATGAAATCACAGCCCAGCATGAGAGGCCACACTCTTCATATGCTAACAGTGGTCAGTGGCTCAGGGGAGGTTTCCCATCCTGCTGGCTGCACTCTGGTAGAAAAACGAGGAGTCTCAGAGATACCATTAAGGACAGTTTCAGGAAGTACATTGAGCAGTGAAAAAAGGGTATGAGATGCCTTCAAGGATTCTGCAATTTGGAAGGTAGGTTATTTTGCGGGTTAAAGAACAGTTATTCTATAGGACAAACAAGAGGGGACTACAAGCAGGAGAATCTGGTAAAATACAAAATGAACTCTCACTGAGCTGCTGTACACTGAGTGGGCTTCCCAGTAAAATGAAAGGGCTCGGGTCAGGCTGGACAACTTGGCTCTGAGACCAAATGATAGCGGCCACAAATATTTCAGTTTATTTTAATGGCTCCAATTACAAAGTAGTTTCTTGGATTTTCACATGCATCTGAACTGATAAGACCGATATTCTTAAATTCTCCAATTTCAATTTTAATCACGTTTTTAGTGACAAGCCAATTTAGTTTTTTTCTTTCAGAAAATTAATTAAAAGGAACTATAAAGAACAAAAATTCCTCTGCTTCAGTATATTTTACATGGTAAAAGATTTTAACAAAGAACAGTCACTTGAGGGAATTTTAATACAAGTTTCTTGAAAATTTTATTAAGTATAATATAAATATAGGTAATACCAAAAGAACAGCACATTTTGTAATCCAAATTAAAATAGAACAGTGAGATTTCCTAAGTATTTGTTTCTGGGATGTTTAAGTAGAATGAACACACACACACACACACACACACACACACACACACACTGCACGGCTAGCTTAAAAAGGGACAGCTACTATAATGAAATCTTAACAAATTATCACACTGTCTCCCCTCTGGAAAACTGTAACACTAACTTTTGCATCTAAATCTGTTTGCAGGGTGGTGACTGGAGAATTGAGAGAGTCCAATTTTAACCGAATTTCTGTCTTTAGATAAATTTTTGTGTTACTTATTAATGTTTCAACATTTTCTAACAGGACAACATGAAAAATGGGGAAATTTGTCTAAGGTCCAACTGAAAAGAAACTAAGACCTTTAAAGAGCATAAAAGCACAGGTGACTGAATTAGGAGGTAGAGGGGAGAACCAGGTGAGGAGAGGGTAGATACCGTATTTGCCGGTATCTACGTATAAGACGACTGGGCGTATAAGACGACCCCCTAACATTTCCACTCAAAATACAGAGTTTGTTATATGGGCAGTCTATCTGAAGTGTACCTGGCGTATAAGACGACCCCCCACTTGGAGGCATATTTTTCAGGGCCAAAAAATCCTCTTATACGCCGGCAAATACGGTACTACCTCACTGTACCAAGTATGGAGCCCTCCTCTAATAAAACACACCTATGAATCAGGAACAAGAAACTAATTTGTAAGTACAATTCACACCATTACTAAATAAAGCAGCCAACAGAGGATCTGAAAGTGGTTGCACAACTACACTGGGAAGACCAATGATGTGGGAAGTAGGCTATCCGGTGAAGTAAACTAAATCCTCACCTACCAGCAAAGCCGATGTCTAAAGTGAGAAAAATGAACCCGCGTTATGAGCTAGAGAAATGGAGGCAAACAGCAAGGGCCAAAACCAGAAACAATTCAGAACTGATTCCACTGGAGAGCAGGTCTGGGGAAGGAGGGGGACTTTTTCGTTTTCATTTATAAGGCCTTCTGTTCTCACTGACTTTTTTCTCTCTTATAACTATGTATAACTATTGTCATTAAAGATTTAAAGGCTTTTAAAACAGGGAGGCTTTAATACACGCAGTTCTTGAGGTGACCCAGCGCAGGCTGGTGAGCTGTGGCTCCTGACCCAGATGTGCAGCACACAAAGCTTCCACACGTCACATCACAGAACCCTCACTAACCTCACAGAGCAACGTGGTCCATCCAGGGCACATGGGGTCTGCACGCGGGTCTGACTGGCTAGCTACAGATCCTGTACCTATCCCACGAAATAAGGGCCCTTGGGGAAAAAACTATCTGGGACTCCAAACTAAGATGAATATCCAGGTTATGTGCCAAACCCAAGCCACAATGTTTCAAGTGAATCAGGAAAAACATCCCATAATACAAAACTGTGCGACCAACATCATTACCCCAAGATGCAAAACAAATGCTTACTACAGTGATGTAAATAATGTAACTCTAGACACACCATTAAAACATATTCAGAACACAAAAAATAAATTAACTTATTCTAGAACAATACCTTGGATATTCATGCTAAAGGATCTGAAAAATCTCATCTGGAGTGAGCAGCTAACCAATAGCTATTTTGGGTCCTTGGTTTTACTTTTCCTTTCCATTAAACGACTTTGGGACAGTTTGCAAATTGCAATTTGCGCCAAATTTGCAAATTGGGGCAATTGAAAAGCGAAGAAAAGGCAAAATAGGTTTGATGATTTTGTTACCTGAAAGCAGCTGTAAATATGAAATGACTTGGAAACAGTACAGAATTGAATAAAATGAGATAAAGAAAAAGTCTTTGCGGGCTTTATTCAATTATCCTCATCATCTACACTCCAATTAGATGCTTTTTTTTCTTGTCAATCTAACCCCAATAAATATGTTGCTCTGGAAAGGATTAATTTCCATAGGAAAAGCTATCTTCCTCAAAATAAAAGACTTTTTAAAAACCCAAGACCATCTTTTGTAGGCCTAACTTGTTCAATTTATTATCTCTATCTTGTGGTCATGTTTACAAGTACCTAAACACAGGACAGCGGTGAAGATTCAGAGATAATGAAGGTAAAGCGCTGGCAGTTAATAGCTGACTCCAAATCGAGCCAGTACGAACCAAAGGTTTACACACTCTGACCTCTGGCGCTTGGAGCCTTATTCTCACTTTCAGCTAAAAGCTTGGAGCCAGTATTCTTCTAGTCCAGCTTGCATAAAGGACAATATTTTCTTGAGTTGACAAAGGGTGGGTGGCAGGTGAAGGGAGTTCCACAGGAAGGAGGGGTCTTTCTTAGTCTGCACAAGGAACACCGACGTCAGTCCCGTTGGAGACAGACATGTGAGCCCTTCTCCAACCGCGACCAGTCAGCAATGTCATTTCTCCTAACACGTAGGAAGCCTGAGAAGTGCGCTCAGGTTTGGTTGCCTCAACATACCCCAGGGACGCTGACTTCCTGCTTGAGGACTCTCTGCCATTGTCTTAAAGCCCAAGATGGGGGAGTGGGCTCCAGTCAGTAAGCACCTATTACAGCAGCACGTTAAAGCATTTAAAATGCCTTCCGGTGTGGGCGGGACGGGATGGCTGGCTAAACCATCTCACGTTTAACATAATTTTAATATCTACATTTCAAGAGGCAGAAAATTGCAGGTACTATGACAGGCATTAAGTCATGTCCATATTGTTGAATGTCTTGGTTCCTACTGGAACTTTCACTTTGTAATCAAATTACTAAGCAGGTGGATGGGCAAGTTCATTTAAAAGAGTCAAATAACTAAATCCTCCAAGTTCAGTGTGTAAAGAAGACCGTTAAAGATCGACTCTGAAGATGTAAAGAGTGTGACATGTGACAAATCCAGCACCCAGGGCTCAGGAAAGCCTCCCTGCCTGTCGCCCTGCACCGGCCAAGTCGCGATCATGCTCCACCGACAACACCGGGGGCCTCGCTCCGATGTGGGTTTGCAGTCGTGCGCCGGACTTCTCCGTCCGATTCTAACAAGAGCGCACGAAGGCCATCGTCCAAAACCCAAAACGAAGGGCCTACACGTCCCCGCCAGGTCCCGGCGTGGACACTCAACCTGCGCTTCCTCGAAAGTGCCGTTAGATATGCTTCCCGCCTCGGGCTCAAGGACGGAGCTGGGACCGGGTCCGCCGGCCCGAACCCCGCCCGCCCCCGGCCGCCCGGGGCCGCCCCATCGCCCCGCCACGGGGCTGCGGGGATCAGAGGGACAGGGCGGCGGGCGGCAGTGGACTCCGAGGTCCGGGCCGCGCAGACCGCTAGCTGCCGCGTGACCTTGGGCGCACCGGCCTCCCCGTCCCAGCGCCGGGAGCGGAGACGCGGCGACCTTGG